GTCACTGGCAGACAGAAGAGTATCAGCCCCCTGTGGCTGTAGACGGGAAGGTAAGGACGGCTCTGGGGGGTCAGAGTAGGCTGCCCTGTTTTCCATCCAGCTACATCCTGGCATGCCCATCTCTGCAGGTACCTCGGAATGAGTTTGGGAACGTGTATCTCTTCCTGCCCAGCATGATGCCTATCGGCTGTGTCCAGATGAACCTACCCAACCTGCACCGTGTGGCCCGCAAGCTAGGCATCGACTGCGTGCAGGCCATCACTGGCTTCGATTTCCATGGAGGCTACTGCCATCCAGTGTGCGTGAGGGACCTTCGGTGGCAGGTGGGGAGGCTGAGGCTGGTGGCACTTATTTTCCAGATTTGTCTCTGGGTTTAAAGTCAGCCTTATCTCCTAATCAGTCACAGCTTCTAACAAGAAGGAAGCAGCAGACCCAGTGCAATGAGTGTCCTGGTACTTGTAGACTGAAGCACTGCCCCCTAGTGCTGGTCATAGGCTGGAACCAAACCATGATCAGTGTTCTTGGTTCCTGAGTGCGCCTGTGTGAAGTGGGGACTAGGGTCGAGGACTCTCTCTCACTCTAGCACTCAGGCAAGGGCTGTGGAGGAAAAGGTACAGGTTCCCACAATCCTGCCTCCTGCATGGGTAGCATCTGTCACTTGCTGGCCAGGAATGTCCATCAGGGCCCCAAGTACTCAGAAAGGGCCACTGGCTTCTGAACAAGAAGGGGTAGGGTAGGTGGCAGCTCAGGGAGCTCATCTGTATTACTGTCCCAACAGAACTGATGGTTACATTGTCTGTGAGGAGTTCAAAGATGTGCTGCAGGCTGCTTGGGAGAATGAACAGGACATCATTGAAAAGAAGGAGAAGGAGGTCAGTAGTGTGAATGGGGCCTTGGAGGAAAGCAGCAAGTTCCAGCTGGGTCTCCTGTCCAGGCCACTCCTGCATCATGGAAGAAGATGGGAAAGTCTGTTGTGTGTTAGCTCTTCTGGTGCTCTGACTTGGTGGAGGGCATTCCAGGGGTTAGTGCTGGGTAAAACAGCTCCCTCCCACACTCCATGTCCACTGCCCTGTCCCCTACTTGCCTGCATGCAAGCTCAGGGACTGTGGGCTCTGACTTGGAAGGCCCAGGTCCTAGACCTGATTGCTGTCGTCTAGTCAGTGTTAGTTATAAAAGACTTGGTTACTGATGGCTTTTACATTTGTCACTTACTAAATCTGACTCATGGCTTAGAAGCAAGACTTGGTGTGATGGAAGACTCTGTGTGTGTGTGTGTGTATACATGTGTTTGTGTGTGTGTGTGTGTGTGTGTGTGTGTGTGTGTGTGTATGCATGCATGCGTGCTTGTGTGTGTGTGTGTGTATGCATGCGTGTGTGTGTTTGTGTGTGTGTGTGTATGCATGCATGCGTGCTTGTGTGTGTGTGTATGCATGCATGCGTGCTTGTGTGTGTGTGTGTGTATGCATGCGTGTGTGTGTGTGTGTGTGTGTGTGTGTGTGTGTGTATGCATGCATGCTTGCTTGTGTGGGGGGGGGGTTAGTGCACTAATGTATGTGGAGGCCCAAGGTTAATATCTGGAATCCTCTTCAGTCATTCTACCACCTTATTCACTAAGGAAGTTAGCCACTGATAACTAGCCAGCTTACTCTGGGGATCCTGTATTTACCCTCTGAGGCTGGAATTGCAGGCAGGCCTGCCACACACCCAGCATTTATGTGAGTTCTAGAGACCCAAACTCTGTCCTTAGAGTTGTGCAGCAAATCTTTAACCACTGGGCATCTCCCCAGACAGGAAGACTCTTCCAACCTGAATTGCAGACAGAAGTCTGAACATTAGTCTCTGCCTTAACATTTTCTCTGATGATGCCCTGGCTTCACCTTTCCTCCCTTTATTTCTGCCTGCAGAAAAAGGAAAAGCGGGTGCTGGGGAACTGGAAGCTGCTGGTCAGAGGACTGCTCATCAGAGAGAGGCTGCAACTCCGATATGGGGCCAAGGTCAGCACGGGGCCTTTGTAGACAAAACAGCCTGGTTACCACTCAGTCACAGGCCCAGATTCTGTAACATCACAGTATAGGTGGCTTTATATTAGGAAGCCTGCCTATTGGCCTCAGCTAGCTGTTCCTGCCCTGCCCTGTGCCCTGTTAACCTGGACACCTGTGCTTGGTCTAGTTTGCTGCAGAGGTCCATGTAGGCCGTCTAGGTGTATTGGGCCTTCTGTGTCTGCCTCTTAGCTTCCAGGATTCCCAGTACTGTAACCAGCTTTGGGCCTGCACATTCAACACACCTACAGCCTGTCTACAGTGCTGGGTTGTGGGAGGGTTTTCATCTCTGTACAGGCAGAACCTGGAGCAGTTGTGTGATGGGTACTAAGTCAGAGTCATCAGGCAGTGCCCTAAATGTTCTTTTCCCTTTATGATTTATCTCCCTTCCTATTGCCTATTTGCCTGCTGAAGACACCTTAGTCATGTGCTCATTTGAATCCTGTTAGGGACCCCTTCATCTGGCTTGTTCTCACTGGCTCCTGGGCTACCCGTAGTACACTGCCTTCCTTTCCATCCAGGACCCCTCTCCCCAGCTAGCCTAGCCAGCCTCCAGGGGTACCGCCTCAGATCCCTTAGTGCTGAAGTTTGGTTCTGAGCACTGAACAATTGAAAATAGCATGCATGTGTGTGGGAGTGAGGGGACAGGCACAGCAGCAGCTGTTTTCCCCTGGACTGAGCTGCCCACCTGGGCACCCTCTTTCCACTAGCAGTTCTCACTTAAGTACCTGCTTGGGTGAGCTCCTAGGCTGGGGATGGCCAGTAAGGCTGCCTGGACTCTCCAGCACCACCCAGAACCCTTGTCTTCCAAGGGGCTTAGATCTAAGACTGGGTTCTTCTGGGGAACTTTGCCGCCTTTTAAAGTCAGCCAGCCATTAATTGTGGCCCCTCCACTGTCTCCCCTGCAGAGTGAGGCAGTAGCTCCCCATGCAAATGCAGGAGGTGGACTCTCTTCTGATGAAGAGGAAGGGACCAGCTCACAAGCAGAAGCAGCAAGAGTCCTGGCTGCCTCCTGGCCTCAAAACCGAGAAGCTAAAGAAGAGCAGAAGCCTGAGTACTCTAAGATGACCCGGAAGAGGCGGGCTGCAGAGGCTTCCCACCTCTTCCCATTTGAGAAGCTGTGAAGTGAGTGTCCACCAGGCCAGGTGGCAGCTCTTGTCTGCTTAGAAGGCAGACACCTGATGGCCTAGGGACTACAGGCCAAATGGAAATTATGCTGCAGATCGGTCTGATGCCAGCCCAGCCATACCCCCATGGATGGTCCTGGAAGCTACCCAGAACCCACTCTAGGGTTTGAACACTTTCCTGGGAGATGCTTTCTGACTCTTGAACCTTGGTATTCCCATCCTTGGAAATGTGAGTTTGTTTTAGAGAGTCTTATCTGTTGTCCCAGCTGGCTTCAAATTCAAAATCCCCCTGCCTTAAACCAAGGGCTAATATTACAGGCATATGCAAGCATGCCTTGCCTGTTTTTTAAATAGAAATCACTGGGAAATTCTGGGTATTGGAGCATTGAGGACACACCCTTCTTTAGTGCTGTTCACACCTGAGATGCTTTGCTCTCCTCTCCTGCAGGTCGCAGGGCATTTGCTTTTCGGGCCTTACTTTTCCTGAGTCAGGTTTCCAATACTGCCCAGTGCTCTTTTGTCAAAGACGCAGGCCATCTCTTGTCAAGGCGCTTTTAGGGTTGGTTTTACAGTGGCAGAAGACTAAAACAAAGAGCTAAAATCAAGAAAGAGAGAAAGGAAGGAAGGAAGAAAAAGGAAAACAAATGGAGAATTATGAAAACAGTAAAAGATTAATTAGGCTACATTTTGTTTGGTTCTGGATACATTTGCTCTGTACATTTGCTCTGGATACAACTCAGGAGAAAGCCCTTTTATAAAATCTTGACAAAAAAAAAAATTAGCATTTACCTAAAAGCACTTGGCTGCACATTTTCTTTCATGTCTTAAACCAGCTAAGAGGATCCAGGTAACAGACTTCAGGATTGTTTTCATGGATGCTGGGAACCCCTTACACACCAAGGAAGCTTTTTGTGTATGACTATATTCAATATTACTTCATTTTGAGTCTTTAAAATGTTGAGTCACTGCTGGGCCGTGGTGCTGCGTGCTTTGAATCCCAGCACTTGGGACACATAGGCAGGTGTATCTCTGTGAGTTCAAGGCCAGCCTGGTCTACAGAGTGAGTTCCAGGACAGGCTCTAAAGCTACACAGAGAAACCCTGTCTCAAAAAAAAAAATGTTGAGTCACTCTTACCAAGGCAAACAAACAAAACACTTGGAATATGACTCATATTAGACGCTCTGGTAGAGAAACAGACTAGGGTCTCCATGGAAACTGTATTCTTATACTTCCTGCACCAGAGGCTGACAGGCTTCCTAAAAATGATTTTATTTTGGGGATTTTAGTTAGGCATGGCCATGTTTCTGGAAATGTAACCTACTGTGGCAGGTGGCAGCTATGAGAAGACGTGATGGTAATGACATGTTAGGTTTGGAAAGGTTCCCTGCTAGGTAACAGCATGGCAGTGCTTCAGACAGGAAGAAAACAATGAAGAGATGTCATACACTAGGCCGTTGGGCTTCAACTTATTTACTCATTACAGCCATGTATGGTGACAGGCTCTGTCCCCATCTTACAGATGCAATGGATGGGCCCAACACCACGAGCCAGTGGGACAGACTTGATCTGTGTGACACTCAAACCAGTGCTTTCAGTACTGCATCATACTTCTAGCACATTCTCAAGGTTTGTGAAGCATGAGTCATTTACTTTAAATAGAGCCAAGACAAAGCAGGCTTAGGGGTGAGGAATATTGAGCTGCCCTTTTGGAAAGAACTGAAACCACTTAGAGCAACAAAGAGCTGAGTCGGTTGAAATGAGTCTGATGGCTGATTTCCTTAAAAGAAAGCAACAACAAAATCCCCACCAAAACAGACTACTGGCAAGATCCTATACCAAAAGATAGGTAGAAATTTATTTCAGATTTTAATACAAAGAATACAAACTTCAGTTTTTCCAAAGACATCAAATTATTCTTCCATAATTTGCTTATAAGAACACTTTTAAGCTGGCAAATAAAACCCATATAAGAGTTACAAAACCTGAATCCCAAGGATTGTGTGTTTAGCAATCACTAATTGTACCATGTTTTCCCAAACCATCTTTTGGAGTTTAGATGAGACTGCACCAGTATGCACTGAGCAGTAATGAATATCGTCTCCATCCTTAAACCCAGCAAGCCATCTCTGGCTGCACTTTTACCAAGAACCCCAGCTGAAAGCATAGATACCACAAACATGAGAGGGACTGTTATATATCACTAGGGTCAATGGTTCTGACACGTTAGTCAGCTACCAAACACAGCTACTAGATACAGCGACCACTAGGGCAGTTTGCAAATAGAATTGAGATACAGGATAAACCAAGGATCTATGATGACATGGCTAAGGTGTATACAAAGGTGTAATAGTAGAGAGGAAACTTAGAAATTATGTCCGTTAGTATGGGTGAATTTTATTTGGGATGAGGAAAGTGATGGACATTAAATGCAAAAAGAACCACTATGCTGCAACCACTTGAGGCTGGAGTGTCAAGGTCAAAAGCATTTCCAGGGAAAAAGGTTGGGCCAGGCCAGATGTGGGTTTCCTCCAGCAAGCCTTGGTTTCAGTTAACTGGAGGTCACAGTGAATAAGCCCTCTTAGTAGGATAACTTCCAGCCTTTTTCTGTAACACTGACTACAAACTCAAAATCACCTTCAAGTGAACCCTGGGTGCTTCCTCCACAGTCCCAACCCAGCATGAAAGAATCTACTAACACTGATTCAAAAGCATCGCAAAGCTAAAGCTTCCTTCCCTAAGGCCTCAGGAACTAAAACCAGTCAAGGCACACCCACTGAGACACCATTCCTGCAGAGTTCATCTCAGTGACAGCAACTGTCAAATGGGGGCCATTCACAGGGTTTTAAGTCTCAACTCCTTGGGACAGAAAGAACACGTGAAGAAGTGGAGTAACAGAACCAGAGGACTGAGGGCTTAAACCAAAACCCTGTCCAGCCACAGTGACAGTGACCTTTGGGATAAGACAGATCGTCAGTGTTTCTTTAGGCCACATCAGTTTCTACCCAGAGACTTGGTTTGGGGTGGACCTTCTCCAGGCTTGGTATGGTGTGTCGTACTGATGAGATGTGGCCAGTAGGTGATGGCTGCATTCTGGGGCTTCAGTTGTAGCCGGAGGTTGTGGCGGTCCTGCCACTTGGTTTCAGCGATGAGGGATGGGCAGTAAGGCTGAGTCCTTCACCAGCAGGTCAGCTGATAGCTGAGTGGAATAAAGCCCTAAGAGGGGAAGGCATTAAGCAGGACAGTTCTCGCTGCATCACCATCCTCAGGCTGCTTTTGCCCAGCAAAGCTGCATTTTGGCCACCAAAGCTGCATTTTAGCAAGAAGTGGGGTGGAGAAGATGTGAGCTGGCGAACACCAAACCCTACATGTAAGTGTAGACACTGGCCCCTTGAGTAGGGTGTGGAGGTCACAGGGGACCTGGCCTCTGAGGCTTCACTCCAGCTTTTTGGCTGGCACCCGGGTCCGTGCAATGATTATGGGCACCAGAGCCAGGCAGCCAATTAGGGCAGCCCACAGCGGTCGGTAGAAGAGCCAGCCAGCAGCCACAGTCAACAGGGTCAGTGAGGTGGCTACACAGAAGGCAAAGGCTTTCAGGCCAATGTTGACCAGGTCTCGGAAGACAGGAAACCAGTCCACTGTGGGGAAAGAAAAGGCCATGAGTCCCTGAGGACACTGTTCCCTGCCCCCCGACGGCTCCTCTCAGCCATCAGAGGGAGGAAAGGATCAACAAGGTGGAACCAAACAGCCTCCCACTTGCCCAGAATATCCAGGGGAGGAGAAGCTCAGTAAGCTGGTGTCCACAACTTTATTCCTGCTCAGCCCAGGCCCAAGTGTGAGTGCCTTGGCCCTTCAAAGCCCACATTGAGGCCATTGAAAAATCACTCATAACACCTTCTCTCCCACGGAGCCAATGCTGACACTCTACACTGCTTTGTCAGAGCTTAAGCTCTGAGCCACTGTGCCCAGCCTGCAGAGGAAACACCTGGTGTTCAGTAGGTCACCTTGACTAATGGACAGGACCTACATGGGCCCTGCCACAGCTCCCATTATCCCTCCACACTATATCGGCCCTACCTGCCAGTGTGCCTTCAGTGGAAGAATCAGTAGCACAGACAGGGCTTCTCAAACATGGTGGGGACTGAGACTCAAGAGGGATTGCCCTGTCCTCAGCCACATGGCCAAGGGAGTTCTGTTTAAATTCTGATCGTTCTTTGTCATGCCCACAATGTGGCTGATATTTTTGAGCATACTTCAGCTACCTAGGGAAAGTCTGAAGGAATGACCTTAGTTTCCCATCTGTAAATGAAGAAACCCCCCTCAACCCCCAACACTTGCTGCCAATCTGGGATGTGCTCCAGCCACACCTCTCCCCAGTCCACAGACCTAAGTGGGAGGGATTTCTGCTGGCACCACAGGCCTGAATGGGGACATACTGGGGTAGAGACCTGAGTACTAAGTCTCCCTGAGCAGGTGCTCATCCTGCATGGACAATGTCAGCCTGGCACACTCTACGTCCTGGGCACCAGGTCCTGAACAAAATTGGGATACTTAAACATGAGCTCTCTGGTGCCAGACTTAGGGCAAGTGAGCAGCCCCTTCCCCAGGCTCCAGATGTGCTAGCTGCCAAAAACCTGGCCTGGCTTTGGAGGGTGTTTCCATACAGAAAACTCCTAAGCAGGGGCAAGAAAAGGAAGCCCAGGCAGGGGTATCCATGCCATCTGACCTGAGGGATTTCAGGTGCAGATCCTGTTCATAGCACAGGCTGGCCTGCCTCTTCCCTATAGCTGTCTGGTTATGGTGTAAGGGATGAGCAGAGCAGGCCAAGTCATGGAAACTGGACCAGCCTCCCACCCCTCAGCAGGTGTGAACATCCTGTCCCTCACATCTGCCTTTCTCCTCAATATTTGTCTTAAAGCTGGGGGGGGGGCACACATAGAGGACAGGCCAGATGTTTGGTGTCTTTCTCAAGGATCCCATCAGGCTAAAAGGTTGGCCAATGGAGTGTGACAGATCTCCAGAGGGAAGGATGGCTCCTGCATTTTTCTTACTTACCCAGGGTGTAGAGGATCCGTGTCATGAGGTTGAGGCCCATAAACATGGCCATCCAGCCAGCTGCCCGCAGGCCCCATGTCTTCATGGAATTGCTCTTCTGTTCTCTACGAAACACTTCCTGTAGGACAAGGTGGCACTATGTCAGGACCCAGGGAGTCACCAACCAGCAGTGTGGGTCCTGGTGGGGGTGGGGGTGGGAATATGCGGGTTGTTCCTTACAGAACACAGGGAGACAGGCAAACCTCTCACGGGTGTCTAAAGTCTCTGCTGTCTGGCTCAAGAGCATGGAATGAGACCTATGGCCTTAGACACGGTCTTACCTGGAAGACAATCACCATCCTTCCCACTGCAGCTGTCCATCCGGGGGCAGCTCCCACCCTTCTGAGTAGTAGTTTAAAAGTCCGTGCTGGTCCTGAGTAAAGCATTAGCCCTCAACCCCAGGACACTGCTTGCAGCTTCAGGACCCCTGGCCCCGACAGGCTCCCTCCTACTCTGTAGGTTGGGTCCTTCTGACTCCATTGCTGCCCCTGTTTTGTTTTGTTGTTGTTGTTGTTGTTGTTGTTGTTTTCTGGCCTGTAAATGCTGATATCCTTTGGCTGCTCCATCCATCTTTCCAGGACCCCCATGTATCCCATGGTTCCATGTGCCTATACTTAAACATAATTACACGCCCAGCACTGCTTTAGGGCTGCACTGCCTCCAGCCCTCACTGCCTCCCACACATTGTCCCAGCCTCCTGGCATGCTGAGCATTGACTCAGAGCCCCACCCCAGTCTGATTCTCTGTCTTCCCCACAGCAACACATAACCCCACCACCCACCCACCTGCATAAGCCAAAACCTGGGGTTAGGTATGGTCTGTTGGCCCCTCACCGTACAAGCAAGCTGTCAGCTGTTTCTCCTCTGTCTACTGTGAGCCACACCATCACTGCTCCTCAAGGAGCCCTTACATTAGCCTCTGCCTCTCTGGCCTCCTTGCTTCCTCACCTCACCTCATTCTCACACAGCAACTGCCATGGCCACACCACCTCTGACCCTCCACCTGGGCCTGGGCCACCTATGGTGAGGCCGGGTCAAGTGTACTGCCATGTACAGACTGCTTACAGCTGCTCAGCAGCTCTGCAGTATCTTCCAGTCTTGGCTAAGATGCAGTTTCTTCAGAGAGCCTTTCCCAGGCTGATTGAACAGTACGCCTGTCTAATCTCTAACACAACATGCAAAGATGGACACCTGTCTCAATAGTTAGCTGTCATTGCCGTGTGGTTTACAAGCACACTGACCTGACTTAAAATAGCCTGATCAGATCTTCTTTTCTGTTTTACTGAGACAGGAAGCTGAGGTCTGCAGGGCTGTGATGCAACCCCATGGCTTCACCATAGGCAGTTAACATGAAAGCCCTTCTGATAGCCTGTGCTCAGTGAGCAGGTGTGGACTGCATGAACAGCCACCACATGAGATGGGGATGATGATGCTGGTGTTTTTTAAGATGTTTCATTTCACAGATGAGGAAATGGGCTCAGAGAGGATAAGACTTGCTCAAGTCTGGTGAGAGGCAGAGCTGGTGAGAAGCAGAGCCAGAACTAGGCAAGAGCTTGACAGGGATCCATGAGCAGTGCCATGGTCTAGGCCCCTGAACTCTCCAGGCCCTCGAGTCCCAGTGTCCTGATTTGGGGACCAGCTTTCTCCTCAGTTCTGTGTGTCTGCCTTCTTGCCTGTACTAGCCAAACCTTCCATCCCAGGCCTCCTCAGCCACACATACCACCTACTACTCTCTGGAGACCCCCAGATACCTGAGACTCTGCCAGAGAAGGTTAGAAACCAGGGGCTGGGCAAAGCCCTGGGAGAGAGAACAGGATTTCCTAATTTTAGAACGGTTCCTAGGATGACTCATAACCCAGGCTGGGAGGTGGCAGCCCCACCCTGAGCTTGGTAACCAGGCTCCCCAATAACAGACCGACCACACCCTATCTTGGCCAGGTAAAAGGAGCAGGTGGGGCCCAAACACTATGACCCACTGCTGTGGCTGGTAGGGAGGACAAAGGGCAGCTGAGGATTCAGTTATAGCAGCACAAGGGCCACAGCTATGTTCTGAGGCCAGCTGTGCCCTTGGCCTTTTCTGGCTGTTCTGGATGAAACCCACAAATCTGCTTAAGAGACATAGGGAGGCCCAGCAGAGATCCGCTGTGTTTACCAGCAAGAGCCAGAATCCACACTGCTCTATTCTAAAGGCACAGAACTGAGCAATCAGCACTGGGAAAGGCATGATCCTTTCCAAATAGTTGGGAAAGACACACCCGGGGTACTGTGGGACCTGTGTTTGGGTGATCACCTCACTCACGTGGCCCTAATACTGCAACTCCAAACCCTCCATTGATGCCCCCTGAAGGAAGAGGAGGCACCTCAGAGTGGCCTCTGCATTATGGCAACCTTGCAGTCACACTGTCCTCTCTTCTCCTGGTACCCACTGACAAAGTGAACCCTTTCCTGCCTGACTTAATTATTCTAGGGTGGACCTGTTATTTTGAGGGCCTTCACAAAAATGGCTTTTCAAGAGGCCCTGGCCATAAAAACTGACTGTCTATTAGAGACCCATCGTGCTGGAACATGGCTGTCCACACTGCTATCCTCACTTCCTGGCCCTCACCATTCTCCCCCCACAAGACTGACAAACTAAGGGAGCAGTGTCAGTCTTCAGTGCCCTGCTCACACAGGAGGCTGCTTTTCTTGCCATACTGCATTGGCCATGACCTCTAGTGGTGGGGATTCTTAAATAGCACTGGGAAGAAGGGCAGGACGTGTCTGTCCCCAACACACAGGCAGGGCAGCAGCAACTCACCTCAGCTGAGAAGTCTCCATGGTGCAGGAGCAGCAATGTGTCCCCAGACTTGGTGGAGTATGGGACTAGCTGGTCACCTCTCTGCCGGGCAATCACAGTAACCTGATCAGAAAAGTCAGTATTAGAGCTGAGTGGGGTGCTCTGAGGGACAGAGGCACAGGGTGAGACCCACAGCCCATCCCTCAGACTCCACGCCAGCCAGGAGGTGAGGAGACCTGGGGCTGACCTTGTTTCTACAGGTCTAGGCCCTGGTGCTCCAGCCCAGCTGCTCCAGTCCAAGCTCCAGGGAGGCTCTTAGGACAAAGCCCATGTCGGGGCAGAGCAGAGGTTGGGGCAGGCCTACATAGGCAAATGGCATGGACTGCATGGTGACCATTGCTGCTTGTTGTCAAAATGTTCCAGCATTTTGACATTGCAGACCATGTGTCTCCAGCCCTAAGAGTCTTCCATCTGCCTCCTAGGTCAGGCCCTGGGGTAGCGTTCTGACTGTGTACTATGAAGAACCAAGACCAAGTACTGTGGCTGGGTGAAGGGACTGCTATGATTGGACTGGCACCACTAGGACTGTGGCTCCCAGGCAGGGGTCCAGGAGCCACTGTGGAAACACAGATCTCTGAAACTGCCCAAGAGCATGCCAGCTGCTTGTACAAATGAGGTGCAAAGTGGTCAGGACATATCCCAAGGTGTTTGGGCCCAGGGACTTATGACTGGGGTCAGCCTCTGGGGAGCAGATTACCACATGAGCGGGGCCCAGGTCAGGGTCATCGCTGCTCAGTCCCGCATAAGAAAAGGAGACTCGAACATCACCAACCTGAGGGTGGAAGAGAAGCAGGAAAGTTAGTAAATAGTGATCCAGCACCTGGCTGGTTTTTCTCTTTCACCCAGACTGTCCCGTTCCCTAGGAGGCCTGCCCATCTCTAGTCTCACTGGCCAAGTGCAGCCTGGGTTCAGCTGCTGCATGCTACCCTCCGTGCTACTCAAAAGCCCTGGCCTCTGCTATATGAGCAGCCCTCATGTCCATGTACCTCCGGGTACTTAGGGTTTTCACTGTGGTAGAAAAAGTCTCCTCGGCGAATGATGTCCACATGGGGGTCCTCCAGCTTGGACAGGCTCAGGGGCTTGAAGTTGTCAATCTTGTCAATGAGGCCTGAGGGAAGTAGAATGCAGAAACCATGGACTCCACTGAGAACCCCTGCTCTGCCAACCCCATAGCCTGACACCCTGTACTTGGTGTCCTCAGACAGCAGGGCCATGCACTATTAACCAGCCTACACCCTCTGGCTTTTGGCTATCTCCCAAATGCAGTGAACATTTTTTTTTAGGTAGTGGATCTCATGTAGTCCATGGTGGCCTCAAACTCACTAAGAGCTGAAGGTAACCTTGACCTCTTGAGCTTATTGCCTTCATTCCTCAAGTGCTGGAATGAAAAGCCTACACTCTCATGTATGGTTTCTTTTTTGTTCCATGGCATGGTTTCACTATGTAGCCCAAGTTGGCCTCAAATTTATTAACTCTGCCTCAGCTCCCTGAGTGGCAGGATGATAGGCCTGTGCCACCACACCAGCTGCAATGCCCTTTCCCAACTCCATCTCCAGAACTTCCCTGTGCCCAACTCGATCACTAACTCTTCCAGGAAGACTTTTCCCATGCCCTCTCCTGCTAAGCCAGCCTAACCAAGTTGCTTTCTGCCATCCCTCCTCAGAAACACTCATCCACATCTAGGCTGGAGCTCCCTCCACCACAGGCATCAGTTGAGTGGCAGAGCTGCTGGGACAGCCAGGCTAAGCTTGGCGATCTAGGTCTCGAGAGTCTCCTGTCACCTTCCCAGGTTAGGCCCAGAGATGGAACCAGAGCATTACTCTGACTCATGGTGTCACCTTAAACCTTGAGGGTTTCTCCTTAGACAAGGCTGTGATGCACCTCCTTGTGGGAGAGCTGGTTGCCAGGTAGGGCTCACACAGGTGGAACCAAAGGTCAGAGGGAGGGAGGGCCTTGTCTACACTCTTGACTGAGGGCTGCCTGAGGCAGGTCTCTGGTGCAATGTCTGCTCAGAACAGACATGAACAGAAATGTGACAAGGGTGTAGCACCTGGGGTAATTTCTAGAACAATTCAGGCTTCAGAGGAACTGCCTAGAGTGGGAGTTCTACCCCTTGAGAATTCACCTCCCTCTGACCCCAGCCAAGAAAATGATTCTGAGATGAAGGCCAGCTGGACCCTGATACTGACCACCATGGGCTGTGGGCCTGCTTGGTGCTGGGGCCCCAGGCCTGGAAGAGGCCAAGGGAATGGAAGGCCTTTGGGTGGGCACCTCCACAGAAGGCCTGAGACTCACCTGCTGAGAGGAAAAACCTGCCAATTTGGACAAAGGGAGCAGTCGCTGTGAAAGACTCCACTGCCATGGCACTGTAGGAGAGAGGGGAACAATAATGGGGCACCAGGGTAGAGTTGTCTGGTCACCTTTTGGTTGTAATGTGCTAGAGTCAGTCCCTACCCAGGAAGTGGATCCTGTAAGTCTAGGCATAGTCTGCCCCCCAGGGCTCCTGTTTCCCAGTCTGGGCTGAGCACCCCCATTCTGTCTCCTCACCCAGAGCTGCATACTCTTACCCAGCCTGTCCCATCCTATCAGCTGTTGTGGAATATGTAACTAGGTAAAGATGCGTTACATTTGTTTATGCTGTGGAATATATTACTCTAACTAGATAAAAATGTGTTACATTAGTTTATGCTCCATTTGTTTAATTATGTAAAGATGTTTGCTGTTTTACCTTGCCTGCCTAAGGCACCTGATTGGTCTAATAAAAAGCTGAATGGCCAATAGCTAGGTAATAGAGGGATGGGGGTGGGGGAGGGAGAGAGGAAAGAGAAAAAGAGAATGAGGGAGAAAGAGGCTGCCAGCCACTAGACACAGAGGAAGCAGTGAAAGTAGGACATACAGAATAAAAGAAAGGTAAAAAGCCCCAAGGCAAAACATAAAGAGACACAGGTTAAACTTTTATAAGAGGTAGGGGGACAAGTATAAGATAAGGCTGAGCATTCATAACTAGATCTCCAGGTCATGATTTGGGGGATGGTGGTTCGAGAAGGCCTGCTACAATTAGCCATGAAATGGAGCCTTTCTGGACCATATCCCACTTTCAGCCTGGGCAGCCTTCAGGCACTGACTATCTTCCTGGCTCAACCTGGACTTTGGCTTCATATGATCTAGCCATGCCCAGGAGCTACATCACCCCATGCCATGGAGTGACTTCCCCTGAGGAATCTTAACACTACCCCTAGAGCCCCCAACCTGGCTAACAGTAACAAGGCACTTCACTACACAGAGGGACCTCTCAGTCCTTCACCAGGCCTGTGTTAACCTGAGTGTGAGCAAAGACCAGGTCTTGATCTGTGCTCCTGATTCTAACACAGAGCTTGGTGTTGCCAACTACATCTCTGAATTGTGTTTGCTAACCTGTGAGGCAGTTAACTCAACCCATCACTCAGATGAAAAACTGAGGCTGGATCCTGCAAGGGTAAGCAAGACTGGACTCTGACCCAGGGCCAAGCTCTCACCTGGGGTTTTTGTGGCCAATCTCTCGGTCAAAGTTTCTGCTGTTGACAATTTCTGACCTCCACTCTGTGTCTGCATGAAGAGAAAGAATGGGCAATTCAGACCAGTTAACACTGGTCTCAGCATCCTCTTACTAGCACCCATGACCCTTGGGGACCAGGGTGGCTGGCTGCTCAGGCCTCCCTGGATGGACACGCAGGATTCTGAGGATTGGCACCCAGGAACTCTGCTTGGTGCTGGGGCCTTCCATACCCACCCACAGCCCCACTGTGCTGCCCACCACTGCCAGCCTGGGCTAGGGAGGAAGTCACATGTCCTGCGGATGTGCAGAGGCCTGGAGGGTCTGGGACTCACTGTAGGAGTACTTGGTCTCCTTCTTCACCTGTCCGTCCTCCGTGTACTCACTGCAGAAAAAGCACAGGCAGCAGGAGTCAGCTCAGGCACCCAAGGCCATCTGCTCTCCAAGTATCTGAGCTGGCCTCAAGGCCCAGCTCCCCACAGGGAGTGGAAGCCTGGTGGGCTCAGCAACACAGTCCCCAACCACCATGGAGCAGGCACTATCTCTAGACAGCCTGTCTGGAAGAACATGCTTTCTCAGCTTAGCTGACACACTCCAGGGGGCTCACCCAAGGGCATCTAACCTTGGGCTCAAAGAAATATCCAGCAGCAGCCTCTGGGAGAACCTAAGGTGGCAGGGGACCTTTTCTAGTATTCCTTGATTACTCCCTTCCACTCACAGGCCATGTCGTTCAGGAGGGGCCGAGTCCAGTTCTGGCTCCAGGTGACCCACCCGCCCTGGCCATTGAGAGCCTGCCCTGGGCCTTCCGATAGGCTGTGAGTTAATTGGGAAGTGACCTGTGGCACCATTTGAGCCTGAACTGTCATGCCTTGGGCTGTGCACCCTGGAATGTTCAGGTAATTAAGTTGAGAAGCTCCCTTTCTGCTTTGGCCCAGTCTGTACTAGATTGTTGTCATTTTCAAATAAAAGGTCACCATGCACTAATGCTGGGGTTTGACACTTTTCTGATCACAGACCCTACACTTTGAATTTGGTTAAATGGAGTCTACATAAAAGCCACTGCCCTTTATCCTAACACCTGAGCCCTTCATGCCCTTCATGTCCTGTAGTCCCTCAATGCCTGGCTCCTCACCTGGACTCTTCTGTCTCCACCCACTGATACATTTCCACATGTCGCCGCAATTTCACAGCTGGAAGATGGACCCCATAGTTTGGGTCAGACAAGAGCTTCAAAAAGAATCAAACAAATAAAAGTGAAAGGCCAGATGCATGGAGGTACAGAATCCCTAGGCCAGAGCAGCCCCACTGCAAGAGAGACAAAGATGGGCAGGACTGGAAGTGAAGGTGAAGGAGACTAGCACGAAGCTGCCAGCCTCAGTTCTCAACACAACAATGTCCATGACCCTGCAGACAACAGGAGAGCTCTGATCATCAGACTATCTATGTGCTAACTGTAATTTGAGATGCTCTCACCACATGACTATGAGACTGTTGTAGTTAGCACAAGGGGCACTGTGCCTAAGAAGTGACTTGACCACAGAGACACAGAGGGTACCATCACACCCATGTGGGTCTATCTCTGAGGCCCAACTCCAAGTTACCACAGTCGGGAGCTGCCACCCAATTACCCAGCCTACCTTGGAAGTTCGCAGGGCCCCAATGATGTGCACCAGCCTCCCTTCGTTCTCTGGAGCTACACTGTGGATGCTGTCTGGGGACACCACAAGCGACAGCCCCTCTGCAAGAGAAGTGGCTGTCTTCATCGCGCGGCCCTGTCAAGAGTAGAACAGGGGGTTTCAACAGCTCAGATGCTGCTTGACACCTTGCTGCGGGCACACAGAAGGATGGGCCTTAGCAAGCAGAGATGTTGAGGTCTAGCGACTGCAGACTCAAGACAGGCTCCAGGACTCCTGCTTCCCCAGGCAGACCCCACCAATCTCAGACTGCCCGAAGCTGGGAACAACTCTGTGTCTCCCTGCCCTGTCTGTACTAGTCCTGTGCCTCCCTTACCTCTGCTTTCCATTCTCCCACCTCCCAATCCATGTGGTTTACAAAGACCAATTTGAACCACTGTCCAAATCATGTGATCCGGGACTGGCCAACCAGGTGTGTTCTCAGCTTAGCCGACACTTCACCTGTCTCACTCCAAGGCACCTGAAGCCTCTGGGAGAACCTAGGGTGGCAGGGGAACCTTTTCCATCATGTCTTGATCACTCCCCTCCCCTGGCAGGCCATGTAGTCAGGTGCGGCTGAGACCTAAGCCAAGAACCTGAGAGATAGCTGTAACTTCTGATTTAAAAAGACATTGTTCCCCTATTCACTCAGATTCTAAGCTGCTTGGAGGTGAGACTGAAAATGCTAGGGCCACATTTACCCCCAAGGGAAGGGGCTTTCCCCTCAAACTGTCACAACAAAGAGGCAGAATTCCAGTGATCCAGCATGAGTGCCTGAACACAGCCATGCCTGAAGCAGTTTTCCAGCTGTGTGAACTGACTCATTGCCCCTCTGGCTTACACAGAGGTGTGTCACCACACAAAGCATTCTGATTAACTCAGCACCCTTTTCCCTCCTGTGAAACCTAGGCCCTTTATTTCAGAGCCCAGCCACTGGATCCTCACTCTGCATCTTACCTCATTGGTGAAAATTAAGTAGAAGGAGAGCAGGAAGGTCATAAGTCCCACGAACATCCCGCCGGAAGTCTCACTCAGCCGCTCCAGGAAGCCTGGCTGGGGGTCAGATGTCACTTTCACGTGTTCCTTCCTACTCCCGATGCTGGAATACTGAGGGGGAAATTGATAGTTTGATGAGCTTTAAGACATGTTTTTGGTGTCCAAAATAATTTGTTCTTGTTCCCAGAAGAAACCCTCTTCCCCACAGACACTGGGGGACAATTCTACTTTGGCACAGAGTTTCTGGGCCATAAGTTCAGCATATGTCAAGCAAATGTTTAAGCATAGGTTGAAGACACCAACAAGCTATTTTACAAAGCAGCTAGAAATGTGTTTTTAATTCATTTTGAGAAGTAATGGCTGTGTTTCCTGAGGATTGTGCTGTTCTGTGAGGTTGGAAGAATGGCAGGTGGTTTTTTGGGCAGTCAGGTCACAGTTCTAAGAACTACCAGGAGGCTGTACTGAGCGTCCAGTGAGATGTGGGCCCAGTGCTGAGTGTACCTTCCAGCTAAGGCATCAAGACAAGCTCCTAGGAGGAGGGGGCATAGAGGCAGACCTCAGGAAGAGGGTACCCTCAGCAGGGGACTGTGGAGCAATGGTGTGGAGTGGCATCCTGTCTGCTCTGGCTGTGGAGGGCTGGTAGAGAGACAGAGCGGATGGGCATGCCCGGGCAGCATCCAGTAGGCCACAAGCCACATAGGTCAGTGGAGCAGGCTTTGCCCTGCTTGCTGTTGTCAGAAGTATGTCTAGTGCTTATCACCAAAAGCAGAGACTGAGCCTGAATCCTGGCTCTGCCACCTACTAGCTGTGGGCCCTCCATTTCTTATTGGGTAAAGTGGAGGTGACTATCCAAAATGCTTGGGGTATTGGCTCAGTGCCCAGGCCTTGTAGGCACCTGTGGGAGTTACAGCTAATAGGAACATTATCAGATCTCTCCAAAACTGAAACTGGGGCTGCCACCCAGACTGTGGGTGTAGACGAAAGTCACAGAGATACAAAGTGGTCACCAGGCAGGCACCTCAGAGAGCCAGGCCCCTTCTTGCCCAGGATCAGAGGATAGATTTGGGTCGGAGTCTATGAGCACAGCAGATGCCACTTCTGGCTGTTCTCCACTGCTGGCTCAGGACACCCACTGAACCCAGAATGACACCATCAGAAACTTAGTGGAGATAATCGCTGCAGACAAGAAGGTGACCATGAGCCAGCTCATGGTCAGTCATGAGCCAGCTCAAGGTGGAAGAGGCTAGCACTACCCCATTTCACAGGTGAGGAAATCGAGACTCACTGCTTAGGATATCTGCCCAGATCAAGCTTATGTGTAGTGAGTAGGTGCTCAAATCCAGCAAGATCCCTCTGCCCTAGACTGCCTTCCTCATTGCTTAAAGTGACCTTAGCTGTAATGTGATCTGAACAATTGGAAATAGAAAAAAGGAAACCTGTGTTTTTCCTGTTCTTCCTAAGCCCAGGAAGGGATAGAAGCCAAGAGGATATTCCTCCAGCTGGGGGAGGGGTGAGATGGCAAATGGTACCTATATGGGAATATGTATTTGCATGTGTATACATACACTTATGTATCCTCCGTAACGTATTCTGAGCACACTGGGCTCAGAATGAACAAGCAATGAAGCAACAGGTGGGAACACACTAGGCCTGGAAATTGGCACACCACGGTTGGAATCCAAGCTCTGTTGCTGTGTGAGCCTGGTAACATGCTCCACCTCTCTGGTCCTGGTTCCTCACTTGCTGGTAATAATACCTACCTGACAGGTCAGCTGTTATTCTGAATCTAGGTGCCTGTGCTCCACCCACTGTCTTTAACCCTGCCTGGTGGCTCAGCTCTAGTATGAATGCTCTGGTCCTCTGTCCCCCAGGCATGACACAGTCATTGACATCTTGAAATAAGAACAGCTTTGATTGTCCACATGAGCCCCTCACATGATCAGGCATGTTTTCTGGAAGAGTGGATGAGATTCCAGCCGATCACCTCCTCCTATGTCCCACCCCTAGCAGTATATAGCATTGCTAGGGTATACAGAAGGCAGAGGCTAACTGAAGGGGGGGCTGGGAGCAAAGGGGATGACACTTCATCTATGCAGCTTTCCAGGGGTGGTCCACCTATGCTGATGTGGGACTTTGGTGAGGTAGCTGTTTAGGGGTTACCCATGCTCCTGCAAGTATGCACAGTTCACCAAGATAGAGTTGGTAGGATTGTTCCTTTGGTCTATGGTTATCCTGCTGACTGAATGGATGTTCATTCAAGTCTTTCCAAGAAAGTAATGTAACAAATAGGCAAAGGCATGGCTACTGAAGAGATCCCATTGTGTCTATGTTTGCTGGTATGAGAGTCAGACTCCAACATCCCCGAGATGGTCTCTGCCTACCAGGACTGTGGGTACTAGCCTGTAAGAGTGACGTTTCCATGGGTTAAGTACCTCCCATGTACCAGGCTCTGTGCCTAGCAATCTTCCTCAAACTTCAAAGTAACTGATCCCATGAGACAGTGAACCCAGAGAAGTTAGAGTGGAAGAATCTGGATTTGCCTCTAGCCTGCCCTCATCACCTTCCCAGGCTGGTGCTGTAGCATATACTGGCCTAGCACCCCCGAGCCGGTGTCTTCTGCTGGGGAACTGTAAAAGATGATGATGATGGTGATGGTGATAAGCGCCATCATGAGTCCACCTGCTCCTGTTAGGCTGGTCTACAGGGTGCCTTCTCCTCTGGCTCCAGTGCAGCTTTCCTAACCTCTGGTTCTCCTGCCTTCCAGGGCCTGACAATGTGCCTTTGCCTGGGCAGTGGGTCCCACAAACTCTGGCCGCTCCAGGGGTGTAGGAGGCCAAGAAGAGGTTTGCCGGACAGAGGAGAGGCCTGGGAAGAGGGGGGCAATGACATTCTACCAAGGAGGGAGAGAGGGTGTGCCTGGGGTTGGCAGCACTCCTGAGCTGGCTTCAGAGGCACTTTCACCAGAGGCAGTGGTGAGTCACCAGCTTCTCCCACACCCAGTTCCCTAGTAAGTGGCGCTGCTCCGCTTGTTGAATGAATGTTCGGATTCACTAGTAAAGTTCTTAAGGACTAGTTGCAGTAGGAAGAAGCCAGAGACCTGGGGGATGTTGGGGACAGGGGGAGAGGTTATCCTCAGCCAGGGTCTCTTACCAAATAAGTGCACCAGGGACCGGACCGTAGAGAAAGGCCTCTCTCTCTTGGTCATCCGGCCAGGCTGGTCCTGCTACAGAAGCAGCACAGCCTAGGTGTACACACCCCCTAGGGCACGGAGGTCAGAGAAGCCTTTGCTGGACAGCTCCACCTGGCCGGAATCGCCTCACCAATATGCCCACCGAGAGACACTTTCCTCGCGGTCCTTCTCCCCAAGTTTCATACCCCAGGGGCCCAGACAGAAACTAGGAGTGGAAGGAGCAACCACGCACGAGCCGATTCGACTTAGAGGAGCGCTCCACAAACGTGCGGCCTGAGGGTGAGTGGACAGGTGGACGAGCACAGGGAGATCAGGGTCGCCGCACCCACTGAGGTCGCATCGCCGAAGGACCCACCGTGGACCAGGGGAAGGAGTGTCCCGGATGATAGTGTGGTCAAGGGAACAGAAGGTACTCACGTTCGCAGCCATGGTGGGCCCGGCTCGCCTCCGCGGTCTAGCACTGCTCTGCTAGGAATTAGGCTGACGACCGGAAGGCAGAATGCGGTGACCTCCTCTCTCCTACCGCGCTGCAAGACTCCGCGTGGAATCCAGGACCTGGCAGGACTCAGGTCAAGAGTTACCGCCCCGCGGATAGTTGTCTGTGCCCCGCAAGTTGTCTGCGCGAGCACATCTCGAGGCCTGCTGGGAAATGTAGTCCGCTATCGGACACTTTCCGCCACAAAATTTCAAGCGCACCCAACACTTCACTGGTGCGCGTGCGCACTGCAAGATTTCTGGGAAATGTAGTACCTGCTTCGTTGGAGGGGCGCACGGGCCGCTGGGCAATGTAGTTTTCGGCTAAGGAGCGGCGCTGGTGCTTAGGAAGCTGGGAGGCAGGCGCGCGGCGGGCAGGCCTGGAGGGGGCGGGTCCGCGCGGGCTTAAGTGCCGCCCGCCAAGCCTGAGGAGAGGCGAAGGGAGGTCACTGCGTGAAGGTGTGTATCCGCTACGGTCGTGCTGAGTGCCTCCCAGAGCTGAGAGCGTCCGGAACAACCATGTCCTACTGCCGGCAGGAAGGTAGGTCGGGTGCTGCCATGGAGACCGCTCGGGCGCCGGCCTGCGAGACACACGCGGTCGGGTGGTTTCCATAGGGCGGCGTGGGCCCTTCGTGGGTTTCACGCGGCGGTTTCCAGATAAGAAAGTAGAGGCTCCGTGAGGAACTAGGCTGGTCCAAGGTCACCGTGACACTCAAACCCGGGCCTCGGAGGCCTCACGTGGGCCCTGCGAGTGCGGAGCATGTTGTATCTAGCTGGGAATTGGGGACTGTTAGGAATTAGTCACCATCGTCCCTAGCACGCCCCACGTGTTTGTATCTCGCTTAGGCTTTTTAATTATCCCGGGAAATTACCACTTGGGCTGGAATAGGCTGTGCTGCGTGGTGAAGCGCCTCTGGCAGGAGTGTTTATTGAGCTCCTCTTGTATACCAGGCACTCTTGAAACTTCACGTAGCGACCTTTATAAGTCGGGTTCTGTTATTGTTCGTGTTTTATCAGACAGTAAACTAAGACGGGTTACTCGGCCCTAGAGCCCATCGGGTGATGAAGCTGCAGTGCCAGTGGGGAGCCCTCTGTTAAAGGCCTTCCTTTCTACCGTCTCCAGCCACGTTGAGGACCACTCACTTGTCTGTTACTTGTGAGCTGCAGCCAAGAAGACTCCAGACTAGTCTGCACCTTAGCCTCTCGGCACTAATGGCTCCTTGTGTCTAAGCTGCTAGCAACCCCTCCAGGCCCTAGTTTCCAGTCTCGGCCATCGTTCATTCTAGTATCCACAAAGCATGTGCCCAGGGGAAAATTGAGTTGGAGGACTATTGGGAATACAAATAAAATTCTTGGGTCACCCAGAATTTTAGAATGAGTAGGCCAGCTTCTTCACTGTAGTCTAGGGAATCTGAGGGGTAAAGGAGGAACTAATCCACCCCAGGCTATGCATCCAATTAGAAGGCCCAGTTTACACCGCACAGCTGTTTCCTCCCGCCCTAGCAATTCTTGTCATGATTTTTGTTTCTTCCAAGTCTAGTGCAGTTTACCAGTTGGCAGGTTGATGTTGAGTCTTTGGGGTAAGTGTTATGATAAAGCTTGTGGGGAACTTTGGCGGATTCCATGGCAGGTGAGGTTGACCGAGGCAGAGGGACAAACATGCTAGGCAGACAGAGCTTAGTGAGAAGTTTTATTAGAAAGGGAAAGAGCTGGAGGGAGGAGAGGAAAGAGAAAAGAGGTAAAGAGACAGAGAGGACAGATAAGAAGAGGAAGACAGGAAAAGTCCTGTCTGCACCAGGGGAACTTAGGGAAAGAGAGAGAGCAGAAAGAGAGCATAAGTGGATGGGGGGGTCTTTCATATTTTTTATTTTATGTTACTATTGTTTTTGGAGACAGTCTCACTATGTACCACAAACTAAGAGATTCTCCTCTTCTTCCCAAATACTGGGATTAAAGTCACGTGCCCCTACCCATGATCACTGTGAGTACAAGGCAGGCTTAGTATAAACAGCAAGTTCCAGGCCAGCCAGGGTTACATAGTGAGAATGCTGTCTGAAGAACAAACAACAACTAAAAATAAATACCATGTAAGGCTTTGGGTGACCATACTGCTATTCCTCCAGCCTCATGTTTTCCCACTTGCTCCTCAGCTGCTCTGGCTATGCCTTTCTCATGTGCTTTCTCCAAAACTCCAGCTCTCATCCTTTAAGAACCACCCAGTGGTGGCACACTCCTTTAATCCCATCACTTGGGAGGTAGAGTCCGGTGGACTTCTGTGAGTTCAAGGCCAGCCTAGTCTACAGAGTAAGTTCCAAGATAGCCAGGACTGTTACACAGACAAACAAACCAAAACCAAAAACGAACAAAACCAGCCAAAATGTCACCAGGTCTTCCCTGATACTTTGTGTCTCATAAACTCTGAAATGATTGTCTTCTCCCACCAACCTAAGAGCTGGCAAAAGGCCTAGTATACAGGGGGTGCTCAGGATTTAATAGAATGACCCCAGGCTCACGCCTGTCCTGTTCTGTGCAGATGGTTGTCTGGACACATGCATGTCAATGGTACATATATCTGTCAGTCTCCAAGTTAAAGACCTCAGGTTGACATTCAGGGAGTTCCACAGTGTGGGTGAAGCCTCACTCTGGCCTTGTGCTGCCAGTGTTTCTGTCAGTGCCTGCCCTCTTCTGTTCATTCAGCAAGCGTTTTTATTGCAGAGTGATGTGACAGCCATTGGGCATGTAGTGAGCAAGGTGACACTTTTTGTGTCTACAGACTGAGAACAGGGTTGGCATCAAAGCACTCCTAGATGGATGGACAATTACCAACTGCTAAGTAATAGGGAAAGTACTGAGATAGTGTACTGAAGGCTCTGCAGGGGGTTGCCAGGGCTTTGAAGACCATTTTAGATGTTGTTTCCTCAAAACCATCCCAGCCTTTAGACTGGGAATGAACACTGAATTGTTTTTCTTTTCTTTTTTTTTTTTTTTTTTAAGATTTTAAATATTATGTATACAACATTCTGCTTCCATGTATATCTGCACACCAGAAGGGGGCACCAGATCTCATAACGGATGGTTGTGAGCCATCATGTGGTTGCTGGGAATTGAACTCAGGACCTCTGGAAGAGCAGCCAGTGCTCTTAACCTCTGAGCCATCTTTCCAGCCCCTGTTTTTCTGTGGCTTTGGAGGCTGTCCTGGAACTAGCTCTTGTAGACCAGGCTGGTCTGGAACTCACAGAGATCCACCTGCCTCTGCCTCCCGAGTGCAGGGATTAAAGGCGTGCACCACCAACGCCTGGCTACACTGAATTCTTAGAGCCACCTCTTGTCTTCAGGCTCCACTTGGTCTTGAGCTTCTGATCCTGCCTCTACCTTCAATGGGATTGCAGGTATGTACTCTGCCTCCTTTATTTAGTTCAGTCTGGCCCTTAGTGAGCATACTCAGCAAGCTTTTTACCACCTGAGTGATGGCCTCAGTCCCTTCTACATTCTTTAGCCCAACGCTCAATCTTCTTCACTTGATACATGTAAATTCTTTTTTTTTTAGTTTATTTATAATTTTATTGAGTAATAAGAATTCAAGAGTTTAATCCAATTTTCAGATCACATCTCAAACAATCTTCTTAAAAGGATGAATTAAATATCCTCATTTTTTGAGTAGCTGGTGCCTTACTATAAAGAATGGAGTGGCAAATCCAGATCCAAAGTACACAGTCATCATAGCCAGTAACCATCACCTGTTTTCCACTGAAAATGGCAAATTCTTCCCCGGGCCCTCCTCATAGTGGCTGCAATGGACCACAGAGGTGGTGAACCTCTGGATACTCTGGCCCATCATGGCGCCGCAGGAGGCTCTTCGAGGGCCACACCAACACCAATTCTATTTTTTACATGTAAGTGTTTTGTCTGCTTCTCCTTTCAAGAAAGGAGAGTAGAGGATACCTGCCTGTGCATTGATGTGAGGGCTGACAAGTCACAGATGTAAAGGAGCCCTAAGCTGCTTCATCGAAACCTGTCTGGGAGCCTAGGGCCATGTGGATGTGCCAGATTTTGATTGCGCTTTGCTGAGTGGGGTCTGGTCTCTATGTATATCACTTATTGCCCCAGGTATTTCAGGAACTTGTCCAGGTTTGTCCCCTCCCCTTTGGGCCTGTGCTTAACTGAGGTCACAACTGTCAGAGCTGAGCTGAGAGCTTTATGTCAGCTGCTTTTGCTTAGCACTCAGCAGTTATGCAAATTACTTTTGGGGGTTCTTGGAAACTGTCCAGAATCTCCAGGGTCATTAGGCACTCTAACATGGCCCAGTAGCCTTGTTCAAATGCTTTCTCCAGCAGTGGAAAGAGCAATCTGGGTTATGTGTTAGGTGCTGAGGCCAAGACTGCCTCTGTCTAGGCAGAGAGCCCAGGTGGGTAGTGGGGCAGCCCTGTGTGCAGAGACCTGCCAATTGCTACTGTCTGCCAGTGAGTGAAACCTCTGTTCCTAAACTGTCTTTTTCACTGAGGCAGCCTTTCTGACATTTGCCCTCACTTTCCTTCTCCGGCCTCTTCCTTGGGTATTCCAGCCCTTTGCCTTACTTTTCCTTCACATGCCTGGACCTAAACTTTCCAAAATATAGGGGGAGGAGTGGACACAGTGCTGGCAGCTTTCAGAGAGCCACCTGTCTGCAGCCTGGCCTCAGCTTTCACAGTTGCTACCTCCCTCAGGGCTACTCATAAAGAAGGGCAGGTTTACTCAGACCTGAAAACAAGTCTTCCAGTGTGCCCTCTGGGTGAGGATCTAGTGACCCCAGGTCCCCTGGAGTCAGGGTGGGCTGTCAGAAGGCTCAAGATTGTCCTTGCTCTGTTCCTGAGTGGGTTAGGGATTTCGGACATTGACCTTTCCCTCCTCAGTTTGGGACTGGGGCAGAGTGGGTCTATGTTCAGCCTTATGCTCAGTGCTCAGTAGCCCAGTGTGTTGGGTAGAGCAGTGTGGGTGCTGGAAAAGTTGGAGTGTGAAGGACTTAGGAGGTTCCTGTGAACAGAGGGCATTGCTGTCCCTCAGGAGTGGTGGGTAGAGGGCTGGCTGCTACACAGGATCCAGAATTGGACCACCATGGAAACAGATGACACCCTGTGCATTGTGGGTGCTGAGGAAAGGTTCTGCCACAATGGAAATGGCTGGTGTGTGGCTGCTGGGAGTGGGAGGGGGCTAGTTGATAGCTAAAATCTGTCAGAGAGTGAGCCACAGGGTATTCTGGAGAACTATTCTAGTCCTTTGTTTTCTTCCCTTTAAAACATTGACTTGTTGCTGGGTGGTGGTGGCACACACCTTTAATCCCAGCACTTGGGAGGCAGAGGTGGATCTCTGAGTTCCAAGACAGCCAGGGCTGTTACACAGAGAAACCCTGTCTCAAAAAAGAAAAATAAAAACAAAAAACTTGTTTCTGCTTTTTGAAACAGGGTTTCTTTATGTAGCCCAGGCTAGTCTTGAACTCACTATCCTGATTCAGCCTTCTGAGTAGCTGGGATCATCAGGATTCCTTACAGGGTCACTATAAGGTTTCAGTCAAATAGGCATGTCTTGTCCCCACACCATTGGGAGAAACTCTAATGTTAAATATACCTGTCTCATGTTTTTCCCTGGAGGCCTCAGGACCTTAGCCAGGCCTAAGTTAAAAAAAAAAAAAGAGGGGGGTTGAGAAGGTTGAACTCTTCCCTTTGGGGGGCTGCTACACAAGAGGGAAAGATACCTCACTCTAAGGAGTGCTCTAAATATGCCCTACCCGGCTCCTTCCTTCTGAACGTGTCTGGCCCTGGCTATGCTCTGACTTTTAGAGGCTGGTGCCTGGGCCATTTTCCCCAGGCTGGTTTTAGAGCCTCACAGATGCATCAGCTATGGGCTGGGGTCCCCAGGTCACAGTGCTCCAGTTTCCTCCTGGTTGTGAGTTGTCCACAGGCTCTTCTCAGAGGGAGGGTGTGAACACTCCCCTTCCCTCTCAGTTTAGAGAGCTAGGTGTTTTGCTGTCTTCCTTACCCACCACCTGAGTGGATTCCAGCTGGCTTACTGGAAGTGGTTGCTGGGATATCTAGTCAGTGATGGGGACAGATACAGGGGACTGTCTCCAGATTGGCTGTACTGTATTTTACTTCCCTCCAATGGATCTATCTTCCTCTGCTCCAAACCCTAGGGAAGGATCGGATCATATTTGTGACCAAAGAAGACCATGAAACTCCGAGCAGTGCAGAGCTGGTGGCTGATGACCCCAATGATCCCTATGAGGAGCACGGTGAGAGAGGAGGGACCACAGAACACCCAAGGGGAGGCATTGCTTTCCCACTTTGTTTGTCTCCCTTGGCCATGGACAGATGTCTAGCTCTGTGGTCCTTGTGTTTCCTTTCCAGGGTTTGGGACTGTACCAAGCCAGAAGGCAGCAGTTTCTTCTTTCTAAAACATTCTGTCTCCATCCTGCATGTTTGTACTGACATGATTAAGAGTGATTGAAGTTAGGACTGACAGGGATCTCTGCTCTGTCAGTTTACTGAGGTGAGCCCTGCCATGTATACTAGCTGATTTGCAGGCAAGAGAGCAGCAGCCAGGCAGCTGGTCCTTCTCCCCTGTTAAATCAGGAGGAAGACTCATCAGAGCTACTTAGAACTGTGACACTCTTGGGCTCAGTACTCCAGTCTGTGTGGTTGGTGTGTGCAGCATTCCTGGTCCATATAGTGTCATCAAGACTCATTTCAGTGCTGTAACAAGTGCTTCAGGTGAGAATTGCTGGTCAGTGAGATTGAGTTTAAAGCAGGACAGGCTGTGGTTATAACTTGCAAACCTGATCTCAAGCAGATGCATATTCCAAGCAGGACCTTCACCTGTTAGCCTTCTGCCAAGTAAGGGTGAATAACTAGCCCTGTGTTGGGAACATTGGCAAATCAGATGTCACAGTATTAGTGTCCTGAGAGTGGCAGGTGTAGCTGACCTGAGTTAGCTTTTCTTAATGAAGCGGTATGAACTTACATCAGTCCTGATCCTTTGTTTACCTTGAGTCCACATTAGCTGCATATATCACAGAGCTCTGGAGTTGTGAGCAGACAGGCTATGTCTGCTTGTTTTTAAATGTACTTCTGCACTGTAACTGCTAAAGCTGCCATCTTGTGGATGTGGATGTGTGTCCCAATTTACAGTACACCCTGGCCTCTGCTAGGCTCTTAAAAGGAATGAAACAAGGACTTCTGTAGATCTGAGTTGTGGTGGGTTTTTTGTTGTTTGTTTTTAATTACTTAATGTTATGTGTATGGGTGTTCTGCTCAAACATGCATCCATTGCCTGCCAATGTCAGAAAAGGGTGTTAGATCCTCTGGGACCGGAGTTACAGATGGCTGTGAGCTGCCATATGGGTGCTGGAAATGAACCTGGGTTCTCTACAAGAGCACCTGAGAGTTCAAAGCCAGCCAGTCTGCTTTACAAAGCAGGTTCCAGTACAGCTAGGACCCTGTCCCAAAGCAATGGCTCAGGCTGGAATCACAGGTATGTACTACCACAGATAGCATCTGGGCTATAGTTTTTCAATGTCAATCTTATTAGCACTTTGGAACCTGCAGTGCCAGCATTATGTTCAGCATTAACAGTCCCATTGGAGTTTGTAAGTAGAGGAGTTGAGGTTGGAGCTCTGGGGCTCTGATGGGCCCTGCTACTGTCCTGACTTGGCTCGGAAGGCCAGAAACCTGCAGATAGTGTCAGAAGGACCACTTCTGGTGCCACACAGCTTCATGTACAGGAACTTACTGTGGTGTTGCTGAGGAGCACCAGTGACATTTCCTGTTGTCCCCAGTTGGGGCAGATTTGCTGATATGTGAAGCTTTCAGAACTAGTGTTCAGAGGCAGGATTCAGCCTAGGACTTTGAACACTAGCTTGGCAGCCACGCCTGGGCATGCCACTGGGGTAAAGGATCATGTGACAGTTCAGTTTATATTGGTCTTTTTGCTTTTCTTTTTCTTTTTTTTTTTTTTCTTTTTCCAGTGTTCCACTGTCTGCATTCTCTGCTCCAGTAGGCTCACAGGAGAACTGTCTTCTGTGTCTGTCCATCACAAAGCTGAGAGTAGAATTATCCTGAACCATTTTGGAAAACTAGAAAATTCTATTTTGATGTGAACCAAGGTCATGGAAAAGCCAAATTCAAAAGGAAGAAGTCAGTGTAGCATTTACTAAAAACCCATCAATAACCTGACTTTCCAGCTCATTCATAATAAATCACTTAAATTAAAAGTTTGATTTATTTTTTTACAGTTGGGGATTGAACCCGGGGTCTTCTGGATGGCAAACCTTGCTTTGCCTCTGTACTATATACCCCACCTTAGTGTTTGATTTGTATAGGAAGAATACAGCCCACTAGTCTAAACGCACTTGCTTTGCATTGTATAACAGGTTTTAAGATCTTTTCTGCGTGCTTGTACCACTCTCTAGGCTGGCTGAGCAGAAGCATAGTGAAGGGCTGTGGGAGGAAGCAGGGCCTGGAGGATCAGTACTTGCTTTGGCTTAGGAGATTCCTGGTATTTTAAGTCTCAGCATTCTGATTCTAGTTCTGAGAGGTGGCTTAGACAGTAGACCAGAATGCACATAAAGAGGTCATGGGGATGCCTTCCACGCAATAAGGACCAAACAAACATGCTTTGCATGTTCAAGATCATAGAGAACGTCTCTCACCATTCCCTTGTCCATCTTCCTCTTCCAGGATTGATACTGCCCAATGGAGACATTAACTGGAATTGCCCATGTCTTGGGGGAATGGCCAGTGGCCCCTGTGGGGAACAGTTCAAGTCTGCCTTTTCCTGCTTCCACTACAGCAAAGAGGAGATCAAGGGATCAGACTGTATAGACCAGTTCCAGGCCATGCAGGAATGCATGCAGAAATACCCGGACCTCTATCCCCAAGATGATGATGATGAGGAGGAGGCAAAGCCACGGAGCAGGTGGAAGAAACAGCTGCTGCTAAAGCCTCTGCAGCCAAAGAGCAGGGGTCAAGCTCCTGAAGCCACAGACCCTGGCTGCCACTTGCCATGGGACTTCATGCACAATGCCTTTTGGTCACCTCTGTGAAAGCTCTTTCCCTCTGTGCCCTGTACTGATCAAAATAACTTATTTTAATGATCAGGGGTCTTGGCTACTTGCCGTGTACACTGAAGAAAAGGGGGTGTGTATACACCTGTGTCCTGCATAAACCTGTCCTTGAGCGTTAAGCCACTGCTGGACGTACTCTCTGATTGCCCTGGATTTTGCCACTTTGAAATACTGTGCTGAGATTTCTCAGCAACCAAAAGTTGTTACTCAGGAAAGCTTATCGTGAGAAAGCTGATTTATTGTATCTTTTGGTAGATTTTACACCTCAAGTTGGGAAATTACGTAGATGCCAAAACTCCTTCAAGGGTGGGTCCATTCCTATTGGAAGAGGCTGATGGTCAGATACTTGAGTTGGAGTACATGGGGCTGCTGCCTTGGGCCTGGCACCCATGTTTCTGTATTTGCAGTCCAGACTCCAAGGTGTCTACAGATGCAGGGTAAGATTGGACCCTGTGACTCCCAGTCCCTCCTACGGGAAAAGAGGCCTGGTTTTTGGTTTATTGTTTTGCTGTTCTGAAAGCCCTGGTTTGGGGCCCATGTTCACTAGTCCAGTCAGTCTTTGATATTGAGGTGGGGACCTAGCTGCTTCCAGGGCAGAAGCCAACAGAGGAAACGTCTGAATGAAGTACTCAATTAAAAAGAAACAATTTCTGTCCTACTTTGAATGTGGCTTTCTACTAGTTAGAAAGTTGTTAGCTCTCTTGTGGTGGTGGAGATTGAATATGTGTGAGGATTTGTGTGCCAGGTGGGAAGTTTGCTGGAAGCCACATCCCCAGCTTTTTGTAATTTTGAGACAAGGTCTCAACTAAGTTGGCCAGGATGGCCTTGTTCTTCCTGCATTAGCTTCCCAAATAGCCTTCCGCACTACAAATATTTTTCTGTAAGAAAATAATAAATTAGGGCCAGGCAGCGGTCAGCACTTGGGAGGCAGAGGCAAGCAGATTTATGTGAGTTTGAGGCCAGCCTGGTCTACAGAGTGAGTACTAGGACAGGCCTCAAAGCTACAGAGAGAAACCCTGTCTCAAAAAAAACAAAAAACAAAAACAAAATAATAGTAATAAATTAGGGAAAATTAGTTGAAAGTCTTCAGAGATGCTAGTAAAACCAGTTTGATGGTGGCACATGCCTTCATTTCAGAGGAATTGGTGGTAGGTGGCTTTCTGAGAATACAAGGCCAGCTTGATATATATAGTGAGTTTTAGGACAGCCAAGGCTACATAGTGATACCATGTCTCCGATAAAGTCAAATCAGGCTGCGTCTTTAACATGTTCAGTGTGGAGTGCAGAGCAAGCTCCTCGTTCTTCTAAACACTTGTTCTGCAGACAAGGCAGTTGAACATGGAGTGTGGCAGGGCAGATTGTTGCCTTTAGGAGAGCTCTGCAGATCCCTTGACTTGAGGTAACAGCTTAACTCTGAGGCTGTACTGTGATGGAACCTCAGATGTTTTGAGTGCATCAGTTACTGTTGTGTAAGGATAACCTTGAAGCAATAAGGATTTCCTTACAAGGCCTGCTACTATGGGGCCCAGGCATGGCTTTCCTGGGTCCTCCCTTAATTGGAGTCATCTCCAGCCTTGGCTAGCTTCTCACAAACTCTAGAGCCACTTTTGGCAGGACTCAAGTGAATTGAGTCTGTGGGTGGTTAGGTTGAGGCTTCAGTTCTTTCTGGTTCTCAATTCCTTGCCATATGAACCTTACCTTAGAGCAAGAAAGAATAAGATAGAAGGCACAGCCTTTTTGTAATTTAATCTCAAAAACCAAGGGACACTCACCAAGCTACCCCATAGCCCGCAGTCAGTGGCATTGTTTCCCCCACTGCCACAGTTTTTTTGTTAGAAGTGGTTTTGCCCACATTCCAATCTTGAGTACCAAGATGCTGCCATGCCACACCAGGGCAGGTGTCACCACCACTGTAACGCTTGAGAGGTTAGGGCTGGAGAGATGGCTCAGTGGTTAAGAGCACTGCTCTTCTAGAGGACCAAGGCTCAGTTCTCAGCACCTGCATTGTGTCTCACAACTCTCTGTAGCTCCAGTCGCAGGGATCCAACACCTACTTCTGAGCTGTGTGAGTACTGCATTCATGTGGTGTACAGACATAGGTGAAATCAAAGCACCTGTCTCAGGATTGCTGTTGCTATGATGAAACAACATGACCAAAGCAACCTGGGGAGGAAAGGTTTATTGGGCTTAGGCTTCTACATCACACAGTTCATCATCAAAGGAAGCCAGGAGCTGATATGGAGACCATGGAAGAGTGGAGTGGAAGACCTTGCTCACAGCTTGCTCAGCCTACTTTTATTACAGAACTCAGGACCATCTTCCCAGGGATGGTACCATCTATAATGGGCTATGGCCTCCCCCATCAATCACTTAACAAAATGTCCTACCGGCTTGTTTACAGCCTGCTCTTATGGGGCATTCTCTCAATTCAGGCTCTCTCCTGATGACTCTAATGTCAAGTTGACATAAAACTACCACTACAACACCCATACACAAAGTTGTGGCTCTGAGATGTGGAGAGGTAGAGAGCTGTGAATCTTACTTAGTTCAGAGCCAAAAACAGCCGGTGAGATGGCCAAGTGGTTAGGCTCTTGCAAAGGCCTCAGGTTCAGTTCCCAGCACCCATGCCTGTTAACTCCAGTCTTAAGGGATCTTTTGCCCCTTTCAGGTGCTGCATGCACATGGCACACATACATGAAGGGCAGGCACTCATAAAGATATGTATGCAGCTGTTTTGCCTGCATGTATGACTATCATACGCATGCCTGGTGCCCACGGAGGCCAGAAAAGGATGTCAGATCCTATGGGACTGGAGTGAAGACAGTTGTGAGCTGCAATGGGAGTTCCAGAAATCAAACCTGGATCTTCTGGAAAAGTAGCCAGTACCCTTAACTATGGAGCTATCTCTCCAACCCCAAAATAAGTATGAATAATAATTTTAAATTATTTAAATGCTTTAAAAAGATCCCAATTTATGGAGCTGGCCAGATTTGAGAAGTGTGACAATGTAGATTTCACTGGATGCAACTTCACACATAAAATGAGCAAAACATACTTTCAAGTAAAATTTCAATCATAAGGTGTTACTGATTTACAGACTTTGCCTGGTATTACTCATTGATGGGCTCAAGAAACCAGAACACCCATATAAAGCATGACACATGGCATGTCAGGGCAGCTAGGCAGGAGTGGTGCACTCACCTAAAAACAGAAAATGATGGGTATTACACAGTACTGCGAGGCTCTACAAATAATTATTTATATCTGTAACTAGGTGTCTCTGTGTGAGTATGTTCATGTACCTGTGGAGGACAAAACAGGGTGTTGGATTCCCTGCAACTGGAGTTAACAAGTGATTTTTCCCCCCCTCTGTGTAGCCCTGGCTGTTATGGAACTCACTGTGTAGACCAGGCTGGCCTCAAACTCAGAGATCAGCTGCTTCTGCCTCGGTGCTAGGATTAAAGGTGTGCACCACCAACACCTGGCTGACAAGTGATTGTAAGCCATCTGACATAGGTGCTAAGAATGGATGAAACCTGATGATTATTGGACTAGGCACCAATCTGGGGACCCAGATGCTGGCTTGGGCTCCAGGAGGTGGGAGGCTTCTGCCAGAGGTGTGGGTTAAGATAGATTCAATTCTCCACTTACCTGTCGTTAACTCTCATCTATTGTTTTTGCTTATGAAGACACATGGTAGTTTAAATGCAAATTATTGGGGCTGGAGAGTTGGCTTAGTGATTAAGATCATGTACTACATTCTTTTCCAGTAGACTAGAGTTCCAGAGCTCTTCTGGGGTATCTATCCTGTGTCTTGGAGATCTTGCTGGTATCTTTCTGCAGGACCAGTCCCTTTATGGGAGCTCCAGCAGGACCTAGATGGAGTAGATGCTAGGGTAGTTCAATGCAAGGCCCAGTTGTGGGCCCGGGTGTTAGCCAGTCAGGTCAGAGAGAGCCACTGGGGCCACACACCTCAGGAGTGGCAGAGTCAGCTCCCCTACATGCATGCCCTCAGGGTAGGTTCATCCTACCTGAGAGGTGGAGGCCCTCTCTCCAGAGTGCAGGGTTAGCGTTCTTGCTGTACTGGGCATCCAGGCCAGCTTTCCCAGGGCAGTAAGAACAGGACTGGCTCAGTATAGCCCTCTGCAAGAGAGATGGAGAAATCAGAGAACAGAAACCAATACAGTTTTTTTTTTTTTTTTTTTTTTTTTTTTATTGAGACAGGGTTTCTCTGTGGCTTGGAGTCTGTCCTGGAACTAGCTCTTGTAGACCAGGCTGGTCTCAAACTCACAAAGATCCACCTGCCTCTGCCTCCCGAGTGCTGGGATTATTAAAGGCATGTGTCACCAATGCCCAGCCTAGCCCTCTGCTTTCATGTCACATGATCCCTAAGGCCTCTTGAGGTGCTACTGGCCACAGACATCAGCACAGACCCCAGCTGTGACTGGACCATGGCTCCATACATGGCCCTTGTATGCAGTTTAGGCCCAGATAACATCCTGGCTCTGGGTGGAGGGAATGGCCACTCAGGTGGGCATGGTTCCAGCAGCCACGTGGTCGATGGACACTACCAAGGCCTCAGGTTGTGGCTCCAACCCTGGGCCTCTATGTGACCATTGGTGGCAGTGCAGGACCCAGACTTCAGGTCAAACCCCAGCCGTGGTAGGACCATGGACCTCAACATAGTCCTTAGCAGCAGCTGAATCTTGATGTCACCACTGCCCCCAGTAGCAGTATGGCCCTGAGACACTTAAGTTGGCCCTTGATCTTGGCTGTCTGCTTGGCCTACAGTGGTAGCAGGAGTATTGGCCATCAGCACAGACCCTGGCTGCAGTTGGGCCATGGACCCTGACATGGCCCTCAGCTGCAGCTCGGGCCCAGACGTCGCCATATCATTGAGTAGCAGCGCAGGCCACTCGGATAGGGATGCTTCCTGGTCATTGGTCACCAACCCAGACTCAGGTTGCTGGTTTGACCTGGGCTTCTTCATGGCACTTGGTAACTGGAGCCACATATGTCAATCAGACACTGACAGACCCAGACATGGCACTCAGCCGCAGCCTTGGCCTGGGGCGTGGGAGGGGGTTAGCACAGGCTACCCATATCTGTGTGGCCCCTGTTGTGGCATGCCCCCCTGACTACACCCACACTGCAGGCTCTGGCCCAGATCCCAGACTTCTATATGGGTCCTAGTTAAGCAGCTTTTCTTAACTTAAATTATTCTATCTTTGCCTCTGGACCTTTTTTTTTTTTTTTTTAAATCTTTCTCATTTCTGTATACCTTTCTTTTGCTCTTAATTTGTGGCTGGCTGCATGGCTGACCCCTTGTGTCTTCTCCTTGTTCTCTCCTCCCAGGTTTTTCCTTCTGTTTATTCTCTCTGCCTTCCAGCTCTGCCTATTCTTAATCCAGCCCAGCTCTTTATTAGATCAAAGTATCACAGAGTTAAATGCAATATGAAAGAATGCAACAATTAATTGCATCATTAAAACAAATGTAACACATCTTAATAGTCTACAACAGCTTGGTACTGAAGGCCTGGTGGAATCCTAGAGAGCCACTAGCTGTCAGTCCACATCAGAATGTCATAGAAGCTGTGCTCTGTCAGAAGAGGATGGCAGAGGCAGCAGCAGAGGGGCAAAGGGCAGGCAAGAAGCAACAGTTTCCCTTCAGGCCTCTTGTATCTGTGCCACCACCAGAAGGTGCCACATGCTTTGGGGGTGAATTGTCCCCACTCAGTTAACCATTTCAGGAAATACCCTCAGAGACCTTCCCAGAGGCAAGTCTCTTAGTTAATTCCAGGTCTATTATTCAGGTTGAACCTAGATAACCCAGACTCTAGAGACAGTACTGGAGTTCTGCTGCCCCCCAACCCCATGCAAACCAGTGGCCAGAAACATGGCTCAGCATGCAAAAGAACTTTTTTTGACAGGCCTGAGTTCAATCCCAGGAACTCACAGTGGGTAGAGAGAACTAATTCTCACCTTACACCTGTGTACATGCATGCGCGCACACACAACACATGCACAAAAATAAAATTATTACTTATATTATACATTAATATAACATTAGTAAAATATATAATGTATTATTGTAAAATAATAACACTCTACTTAATAACGACTTAAGTCTGCTTTCAGCTTTCCTTGAGCAACAAATGTGCTCAACAGGAAACAGCTCACTCAAAGGAAAAGAGAGGAAACACAAAGTAACAGCAGTGCCAGGCTTGTCTTTCTGCCATTTGGTGAACCCAGATGAGGAATGAACACACTTTAACCAAAGGCTTCTAAATCTGCTATAAAAGGACCTAAATTTCTAACAGATGGGTTAATTGGTTAATATGTTAATATGTCACAACTCAGCAGTGAGTGCAACCCTCCCCCACAAGTGCTTGTGGATTTTCTCACACACCCAACTCTCCCCATGCATCGGATGCACTCTTCTCTCTGAGGCCTCTGGCATTCTGACGGACACAGGTATATGAGTAAGTCTCTAATGCGTTGGATTTGAAATGTCTTCTGTATTTGAACAGTTGATCCCAGCAGGTGGTGCCTGGGGACATTATAGAACCTTGGAGAGGTGGCTTCTAGCTCAGAGAAGTGGACGGTCACTGGGGTGGGGGATGGAACATAGAATGACTAGCCACCTCAAGCAGCCACAGCCTCAGCCTTAAGCTACCACCATGTCTCCACTGCTCCCTCAAAGCAAGAGTCCAAGGAATCCCTTTCTCCTCTAAGTTGCTTCTTTTCAGGTTTTTGCTCACAATGATGAGAAATCTAAGATAGTCCTGGTGAAGGAAAGCTGTGAAGCCCTCTGTGGGGTGTGCCCTCTGTGGGGTGTGCCTGTTTCTTGCTTTGACATCACATGGAGCCATTATGAGCAATGCAAGGTCCCTGTCCATAAGAAGCATGGGCTGTGGCTGAGTTTTACAGTTTGGACAGCTGTTCACTGGTGGGCTGTAAACTTGGACACTGGTGATTTGTTGGATTTGACACTGTGACCTGCTGGGCTTTGACATAGTGAGCTTGTTTCCTAGCTTCTTGGTTTGGGTTTAGGAGTTTAAGGTTCAGTATATAGGTAGGTATTGGAAGTTTTTTACATTTGTTTATTTTTGTATCTGTGCACATACTACAGCACACATGTGGAGGTCAGAGGACAACGTTTAGAAGGTAGTTCTCTCCTTCCACTGTGGGTTCCAGGGATGGAACTCAGGTCAGGCTTGGTGGCGGGCACCTCTATGTAGGCTTTAACACGTGATCTCTAGTTCTACCCATTTTCTTGAAAATGACAGTCATTCTTTATGGCTAAGTGTGTCTTTCTCATCCTTGATTCCATTACCTCCTTTCTCTATCTCCCTCTCTGTCTCTGTCTGTCTCTCTCTCTCTCTCTCTCTCTGTGTGTGTGTGTGTGTGTGTGTGTGTTAACAATTTGTATATGTTACAACATCCTTATCCTTGGGACACTTGGTGAACTTATCTTGGTTATGAAGTAAGGCCTCCTTAATGTGTTATTGAATTTGGTGTAGAGTATTAAATATTCTTATAAATAATTTTCACATCTACACTTGTCCTGGAAATTGGCTTATAATTCCCCCCTTTTTTTTATGTCTCTAGCTTTGATGTCAGAATCAACCCGGCTGTGTTGGGTGGGCTCTTTACATTTCTGCTTTAGGGAATTGGACATTGGTTCTTCTGTAACAGGTCTTCAGATCTTGAGTGAATCCATTTGGGCCTTGGGGTTTCTTTGCTGGGGATTATTTAATCACTATTTCGCTCTTGTAGCTTGTACTCAATATGGTGTTTTCCTTCTCTTGGTTTGATGTTGGTGGGCTATGTGAGTCTAGAAACAGTCTTTATTCCAGATTTTTCCAGTTTGCTGGATTGTAGGTTTTCAAAATATCCCCACCTATGCTCTGGATGTCAGTGGTATCAGCTGTAATACTGTAGCCTTCTTATCTCTTATTTTATTCATGCTCTCTATGAGCTTGGTTCAGGCTTTCAGCTCAGCGCTGCTCTCAGTTAACTCTCCATCTCTGCAGGCTTTCATATTTTATAGTTAACTCTCCATCTCTGCAAGCTTTCATATTTTATATCCCATTTCCTTCACTTCTGCTCTGCTCTTTTTTTTTTTTTTTTTTTTTTTTTTTTTTTTTTTTTTTTTTGTCTACCGCTTTGCTGCTTGGTTTGTTTTGGTTTTCTGTGGCCTCGAGGAGTATCATTAAATTGTCTATTTGAGATGTGTTTATTTTAGGACAACTCGTTTCCAGGCACACAGCCGGTACAGCAGGCTGGGCAGTAAGTAGCAAGAGCACTGCCCACTCTGCCTTTCTAATGTGGGAATTAGAGTCACATTTCCCTCAGAACTGATTTCGATTACTTTAATTTTTAACCTAGCACTGTTCATTGGCGTGATAATGGTGGTGTTGGACCTCAAGGTTACAGCCTTCGACGAGGCGCCCCTCAGAAATAGTTACAAGATCTTGAACACTATCTGCCAAGGCAGCTTTGGTGAAATGAAGCTCGCCTGCCACCTCCTCACCCAGACTCAGGTGGCAATGAAAGTCCTGCCTAGGAACTCCCCCATTGTCACATCTGAAATCGACATCATGAAATCCCTCAGTCATCCCAATATCATCCAGCTCTATCAGATAATCAACAGCACTGTCAACACCTACCTTGTGATGGAATATGCAAGCGGGGGAAGGCTGCTGGACAGGATCCAGGAGGATGGACATCTGCAGGAGGAGCAGGCCTGCCGACTTTTCCAGCAGATTGGGAGCGCTGTGCATTACTGCCATTCAAAAAGTGTGGTGCATGGGGATCTGAGGCCAGAAAATATCCTGGTAGATGGCGAGGGCAACATCAAACTCACTGACTTTGGGTTGGGCGTTCAGGTGAGCCCTGGGCAGAAGCTGCACTCTTTCTTCTGCAGTCTCCCATTTTGTGCCCCAGAGCTCCTGCAGGGAAAAGACTATGATGGGCCCGCAGCCGACATGTGGAGCCTGGGAGTCCTCCTCTACTTTATGACCACGGGGTGCCTCCCTTTTCAAGCACCTAGCAATCCCGGGATAAAGCAGAAGATCCTGTGTGCGAAATACTACTGCCCATCTTATCTTTCTGCAAATGTGCTAAATGTAATCAGCCAGTTACTGGCCCTGGACCCCAGCAAGAGGGCCACTATAGACTGTATCATGAACCACCCATGGCTCACACAAGGTGAGCTGCCTTCTCTTGAGTTTTCCCTGGAGGAGTTCCCCAGTCTCCCAAACCCCATTGTTATAATCATCATGGTTGATTTGGGGTATGACCCTAATGAGGTCCTGGAATCTTTAAAAGATCAAACTTTCGATGAAATAATGGCCACATATCTGATATTACAACACAAGAGCCTCCAGGAGGATAGACAAGAGAGCCAAGAGAAGTCTGTGCAGCCAGGTGTTACACCTTGTTGTGCGACCCCTACAGATCTTTCCACCTTCCCTCTCCTTCTGAATCAGAGAGCCAGCAAGCCTGCCCTTCACACCTTCCCCTGCAAATGTCAGCTTCCCCATGAGGAGAAACTTTTAAGGATGGAGGGAGGCAAGAGGGCCATCATGTCTCCTGTTCCCCAGAGCTCTCTGCTGAAGAGGACCAGCTCTTATTTCAGGGCAGCCTGCCATCATGATGATGCTAGTGCCCTCTGTACCCACTCCATGAGTAGCTGTGGTGCTGAGCCTGAGAGTCATGTGGGCTCTCAGGACACACCTCCAGAAAACAACGCACTTCCCAGGGAGGAACCATGGACTCTGACCACCAAGGGTGCTCATACAACAGAGAGCGGCTCATCCTCTGGGGATCTGTCATCAGAGCCAGTGTCCTTGTCCAGTGACCAGGCTGACAGTGTGATGATAGCCTGTACCTGCAGACACTGCCCAGGCTGGAAGGGAGCGAGGAGGAGAGTGGTGAACTGTGCAGCAAAACTGTGCTGCTGCACATCAGTCCAGATGAAAGGTCAGGTCTCCAGGAACACAGTGGTTCCCATCAAAGGGAAGAACGGCAAGACACCCAAAGCCAGGAGGTGAGGCACTGAGATGTATTTGAGCACTGACCTCATCTGCCCTATGCTTTTTAACTGACATAATTGTGTGCCCAAATGTGGTGTGTGATTTAACTTGTCATCTCAAGAGGACAAGGCCACAGGATTTATTCCTGTAGGACCTTAGAGTATACGTGGACAACAGAAGGGAGAAACCAGGGCCAGAGCAGGGGGAGAAATGTGACGAAAGGAGACAAAAGTTAAGACCCAAGGAATTGCCCTGCCCTGCCCTCCCTTGCCCAGCCTTGTCTCCTGCCCTGGTCTGCCCTGCCCCCTGCCCTGCCCTGAACTGTTGTCTGTGCTGGGGAGGTGGTCCTTGCTGAGGAGGTGGTCTTCAGTAAAGATGAGATGGCTGTCACCTCCAGATAATTACAGGTCAGGCTAGCCCCGGTGTATCAAGGTTGAGTTCACAAAAATGAGAATTTAAGCCCCCAGCTGCAGCCCTGTGGGTTATATCTCTAAGGTAGCCCCCCTCTGTCCCATCCACAGAGTGGGGTGCACGTGTGTCAGTCCTGGAAACCAACGTCACAAAAACTTGGGAAAGCCTCATCTGGGCACTGGAGTGCCGTGTCCCCACTCCTCACACTGCCCCCGGCCATCAAAGGGTTCCCATCAAAGCCCCCGGCCATCTAGCTTCCTGCTTCTCTGTTCTTGACCTATTTGCAACACAGCAGGAAGAAGAGGAGAGAGACGGATGGGCTCGTCCTGGTGTGGAGTCTCCCAGCCTCCTGCAGTTCCTCCCTGAGCCTCCTTAGGCCTCTCTGCCTCCACCTGTGTCTGTTGTCCCACAGCCTGCTTCCTCTAGACCTGAGTGATGTCCTCTCTTCCCACCCTGTGTCCCTGTCATTGCTCAGAGGCCACAGGTAGATTCCTGTCCTTGATGTGATTGTCATACTAACAGCTCTAGTTGTAGGATATCTGCTAAGGTCCTGACAAAGTAAAGTTGGAATAAAAATCAAACATGGCCTCAGTGAGGCTGTGGTGTTATCTGCTCTCAGGCTCCTGGGAAAAGTTCAGAGGAATGTAAGCTCTGGAGAGAGGGTATCATTTGGGGAATAACATCCGACATTGGTGACTTAGCACTGAATGTCATCTGCTCTGACATTCCTTTCTCCAGTCCCCCTTCTGTCCCATTTTCTGCTTCTGTTTCAGGCCCAGTGTCTTCCCACACAAGGTGTAGAGGTCATGGATGTATTACAATGCTGCCAGATTGAGGCTGGAGAGGGCTGGGGGGATGAGAAGGGCTTCATGCAGGGGGTGATCTCTGATGAGCTAGATCTTCAGGGTTCATGTTTTACGTTATAGTGCCTGGTGCTGAGCAGGGACTGAATCTGAACACAGATTGGGAAAATGAACTTGTGAACACCCATCTCCTCAACAATGTGGAGGGGAGCCCACACAGGCTGAGGTATAGAAACTGAGGCACACAGGGAAATGGTATGAGTGTCACTAGTGAGTGCCTGCATTGCCTCTCAATGGCTATGTGAGCCTTGTAGCTTGTGGTTAACTCCTCAGAGAGTCTTTGTCAATCTTCTACTCCTCCTCCTAAGAGAGTCTCTGTAATTGTTACACTCACTCTCCCCTGCACTTGTGTGTGAGGAGAGAGATGGGGTGGTATGTGTGACAAGGGACTGAAGCCAGGGCCCAGCCAATGGGAGGTATAACTCTATCACTGGGCTGCATCCCCAGCCCTTGAGGGTTTTTTGTTTGTTTTGTTTTTGAAATGGTGTTTCACTCTAGCCCAGGCTGCACTTGAACTCATGACCTTTTTGTCTGCCTGCTCCCAGGACCTCCTGATGATCTGAATCACTGCCAGGGGTTTGAGGACTGAGAGATGCCAAGAACTTTAGAAACTCACACCTGTGTCTGATATAATCTGTATTTTCCAGGGGTGTCCACATCTTGACATTGTGATAGACTGCATGAACATATGTGTTGAATTACAGTCATAGTTCCTGGGATACCTGTGGGCCCTGGGTCACAGGCTAGACACACCTGTTGAGGGTGATATTTCAAATGGTTATCGGTAAGTGGCAGGACTATTAAAGGTAGGTCTACTTGCTGGAAGTATGTCAATAGGGTGTGACTTGTGTGGGTGCGTTTTGATCTGGGTTCCTTCCTGTTCCTGGTCTCTGCTTCCCGGCCACCTTAAGATGAGGCGCTTGGTTTACCATACATACTACGATGTTCTGTTCATCATAGGCCCAGAGACAAGGGAGCCAGAGTCCTTGGACAGAAACCTGAAGTACAAACCCAGGTGCGACTGTGGGGAGTTTGCAAAGAGGGATTGTGGATGGACATCCAGAGGCAGCAAGGCACCCGGATGTTCCCTGTGTAATGAGAAGGACCAAGCAGAGATAGGGCTCCAGAGTCTTGACAGATTGTGAACTGTCCTTGCTCAATTGTCATGGGCCCAAAGCCACATCTCTATACCAGTAAAAGAAGGGGTGGCTGGAGGTCATCAGGTCATAGGCGCATGGCACTCTTTACAGTTGACCACAGCTTGGGACCGACTGGAAATCACATCATTCTCCAGGCCATGAGTGTGGACACGCACTGGTGCAGAATCTCATCATCAAAACAGTGGCTTTGAGTTTCAGGACCTCCCTGAACCTTTCGGCTGCTTCCCGAGACAAACGGGGTAATGTGATAGGCAAAGCACACTTCATGGGATTCAAAAGCTAGAGCAGAGAGGTGTGGAAGGACCGCCCACCCAGGGTGAACTCAAATTGGTCTGGTATCCCATGCCTGCTCTCCTCCCCACCACCCCTAGGCAGGACAGCTCCACCTCTCCTGCCTGACGGCACAGTTGTGGAGATCCGGGAGCTCCTATCTGCACTCACACAGTGACTGGCATAGTTTTCCATCTTAGTACACTCCCACACGCCCCCTAGAAGTCTCTCAGCATCTTCAGTAAAGGTGCCCTGAGCACTGAGTAAACGGAAGAGCTGACGACGAACCCGCCGATAGCCTCGGAATTAGTAACAAGCAGCAAGGACTAGCCCTGTCAGTGTGTATGTGAGTCCCACCACGTGCTGCTGGTAAGGAAACCGAAGAAGACCTGGAACCAAGCCTCCTGCGCCGGAAGGAAGATGAACACAGGGAGCCTGTTTCTGAAGCCTGCGAGCTTTCCCTTTCCGTTTGATTCCTATTACCATGATGTGAAGTGCTTGGAAGTTACTTTCCACACATATTCATTTTTAGGCCGTTTCCCCTCTCCGGATCTTAGACAGATTTCGGTGAAGCATCTCAGTGGGCAAAGCCGTGAGAAGGGTCTGGAAAGGGAAAGGGGCGAGTCCGAAGGCGTTACTAAGGGACTAAGGCCAGGCTGGGACGCACCCTGATGGCGTCACTGACCCGCGCCTCCTGATGACGCCTTCCTACTGCGCCGTCGCTGCTATAGCACTCGAAGCTCCACCCAGCTAGACACTCTCCACTGCGCACGCGCCACACTTGCCGGAAGGGGCGGTACTTCTGCCTAGGAACTCTAGTTGAGGTTTGTATCCTTTCAGGTGTCTCTGGTTCCAGGAATCGTCGTGCTTTAGGGCCTCCTGCATAGTCTGAAGGAGGAGACTGAGGGCTGGAAGTCATTACAGGCTGCGAGGGCGCGTTTGGAGCGTGGTGGAACAAGACACTACAGAACCTTGCTAGCTGAACATGACAGGATTAATGTCTAGAATATACAGAAACTCATAAAATGAATAACTAGAAGTCAAGTGATGGGCTGCGGATATGAGAATACAGCTTTCAAGAGATGGGATTCAAATGTCCAGTAAACATAGGAAAAATTTGTTGACCAGTAACTATTAGAGAGATGGAAACGAAGTTGAGAATTTGTCTCAGCCCAGTCAGTATAAGCATGTCAACTGGTCTTGGCCTGTGTTCAAGAAAGAACCGAAGATGTGGAAGATGACCGGGGTTTAAGATAACAACACATTCTAGTGGTTTTTCTCATCTTTGAAGCAAAGAACTACATAACATAGTAAATGCCTGAGAAACACTGGAAGAGATTTTTACCACCACTTGCATCATCTGCCCCAAGGTTTCCAAGCCATGGCTGGGGCATGTATCCATTGCTGGGCCTTCTAGTGCCTAAGCTTTTATGTGCATTAAAGATTACCACGTGTTACACAAAGTACTGCCAACTACTACTTCCTCTTGTGTCGAGTGCACTATAAAACTTGTACAATTGTTAGTGAATTCAAGTGGATGGATTACCTACTAGTGACGAATTCTAGCCTTCCCCAGCATTGAGACTCAATGGATCAGATGGTCTCATAGATATGATGATTTCAGTGGTAGTGTGTGTGGGTGGGTGTGCTGTATGCATATACTGAAAATACACATTCTACTGTATCAGCCAAGCAAATGTGAACTCAGAAACATTAATTGGTTTTACATTTATAATGCATATTTTAGTTTAAGAGCTAATGTTATTCCCTTGTAATTTTGACAGTAAACTTTGGATAGAACCTTTCCTGGGTAAACACTGGCATATGCTTTGTGGTTGAGTGTCCACCATGCGAGCAGGTATTCATCATGAACTCCACTCCCTTCTCAAGCATTTAATATTCTTTAAAATTCCTGAAGATCGGGCTGGAGAGATGGCTCAGAGGTTAAGAGCCCTGGCTGCTCTTCCAGAGGTCCTGAGTTCAATTCCCAGCAACCACATGGTGGCTCACAACCATCCCTTATGAGATCTGGTGACCTCTTCTGGTGTGCAGATATACATGGAAGCAGAATGTTGTATACATAATAAATAAAATCTTTAAAAAATAAAAAAATTCCTGAAGATCTTTAAGATACTTAATAACTATATTTTCTCTCTATAAAGATAAAAGAGGAAAGCAATATATTACTGTGAAATTAAAACATAATTTCCCTGATAATATGTATCCTGTAACACACAGTATTTCAAATCAGTAATAATAAGGATAATGAGTACTGTTCACTCTGGCTAGTTAAGAGAAGTTTTATTTAAAAACAGAGAGCTGAAACTAGTATTTCTCATGACACAAATGAACTAATTATATAGATCTCAAAACTAAAAGAAAAGGTACCCCAAGAAGAAAGTTTCCTCATAGGACTACACAAAAACCATCCTCTGGGTGGGGGAAATGCACCGGGTGGGGAGTAGCTGGTAGGGTTAGCAGCTTCTCCTGAAAACCTCACCTGCAGATCTGTCTCCTTTTATAGCCCCACCAAGGACTGCCACTCCTAAAGGAATAGAAATGCCTGCACAAACATCTGTAGCACTTGTCAAGTCCTGGGCTCAGTGTGGCTGTCCATCAGTGAATGGGTGGAAAAACAAAACATGGTACATGCACACAGACCCTGACTCCCTGTGGCACACACTCATTCTCTATGACTGGTCCCAAGTTACAATCAACTGCAATCTATTTTATGGTGAGTGATGCCTCTTGTGTCCTGTGGGACTCCTGGTACTTCCTGTGAGTTCCCAGTAGGTGTGAGAGCCAAAGTTACACTTTAAGTTTTAATTACTATGCCTAAGAGACCCATGAAACAAAAATGCCTCTGATCTGCAAGCCCATTGTCCAAGGACAGATAGTTTTTGAAATGCTGGAGGCTATTTATGGGAGCTAATAAAGCCACACATGCTTTCATTGCCCTAAACAAGTTAGTTTGACCCATCTGCACCAGATGTGCTTGATCACACGTGGGCAGGAGGTTCACAGGCCGGAGGTATGTCAGGATGTATACTTGCTCCTGATTGGACCTGGACCTGTGAGAAATGCGTGTTCCTCCTCCTCCTCGTTGTCTTTTGAAACAGGAGTTCTCTGTGTAGCTTTGTAGACCAGGCTGGCCTTGAAGTCAAAGAAATCTCCTTGTTTCTGCCTCCAAATGTCGGGATTAAAGCATGTGCCACCACCACCCGGCCCAGGTTTTTCTTCTTAAGCAGATACAAACTGTGATTATTGGACATTTCCCAGGAACCTGGGTATAGACTTGACCAGTACATAATTAAAGCTTGCTTCAAATTTGGCTTTAAACTGTGGTAGTCCTTTTATTCTTGATCATAGGCTCAAGGGTTCTCTCCCCGTGTGTGACAGGAGCCCTCTAATCCATTTTCACATGCAGCATTTGGTTTCTGGGTGTTATTGGTTGTTTCCCATGATTTCCAAGTTGTGAGTTGTGCAGTTTCCAAGCTGCAAGTCAGAGCTAAATGTGAGTTTAAAACAAGTCAAATTAGCCAGATGTAGTGGGGCATTTCTTTAATCCCAGTCAAATTAAAATAGAAATAAGGGGCTAGGCATGTTGCTCAGTGATGAAGTGTTTGTCCAGCAAGGGCATAGTGGGGCTCTGGATTCCTCCCTGAAAATAAGAGAGACAAAAAAGAAAGAGGAGGAGGAGGGAATGGAACCAATTTGTTAACTTTGTGATCTGTAGTAAAAACAAGATTCACAGTATAGGAGATACATGCCACTGGGTGTGTATCCTGGGAAGAAGAAAAATCTGGTGTCAGTAATTTAAACTTCACCTGAGTAAATTATAAAACAAATAGTGAATTAATTTAAAGCAACAGGAAAATCATTTAAAAGCTGAAAATAGATTATCCCCAGAGGGAAAAAAAATCAACCAATATCAATTCTGGTTTTCTAAAAGAACTCAAATGCTCTTAACCAGAAATGAAACAGCGCTTACCACTGTTGATAACATGAATACTTTAGGAATATGAAAAGTAGCACAGAGAAGCTTCTCAGAGTGTTAAAAGCTTAGATGAAACTGATTAATTCCTTCAGAGACAAAAACTCCCAGAGGAGAAATAGACTGTAATGGAGTCATATCACTGAAAAAAATTGAATGAATGTATGATGTAAAAAAAAAATCTCCAAATGATTTCTCTGATGAATTCTACCAAACCTCCTCTGAAGGTCAAGAATACAGTATATTGTCCTTCCTTATACACCTCATTTAGCTACAAGCTAGAATCTTGTCTAGTGCAGTAACTAACTTTCTGTCTTCCTTTCTTCATTTCATTGTCATGGAGATCAGAAGACAACTTTTAAGAATCAGTTCTTCTGGGCTGGAGAGAAGGCTCAGAAGTTAAGAGCACTGGCTGCTCTTCCAGAGGTCCTGATTTTAATTCCCAGAGACCACATGATGGCTCACAACCATCCATAATGAGATCTGGTGCCCTCTCCTGGCCTGCAGGGACACATGCAGACAGAACACCATATACAGAATAAATAAATAAATAAATCTTTTGAAAAAAGGATCAGTTCTTCTAACATTTCTTGGGATCAAACCCAGGTCATCAAGACTTACCTGCTGACCATCTCATTGGCCCTATAATATCATTAAATAGGATAAACACTAAAAGGAAATGAAAGGGTTGCAGGTGGGAAAAGAAGAAATAAAACTTCCTGTTTGTAATTGACTTTTTCATGGAGAGAACCCAGATGATTAATAAACCTCCCGGTTACAGCCACTTAAAACAAGGCTGTGGCATCAAGGCCAACAAAGAAAAGCCAGATACTTCTCTACACTTCAGCTGCACACTGGAACTGGAGATGCAAACTGGAACTGTTAGACCCCCGAAAACTCAAGTATCCAGGGTCCCAGGCCACGACTGCGGACACCCCAATCACCAGGCGGATTCGAGAGCTTGCTGCTTTATTGTAGTTTAACGAGCTAACCCCATGTTAGCTCCGGTCTTTGATCCACCCACCATGGCAGATGGCTAGCAAAGATGGCTCCTAGGGTCTCCCAAGAGATCTTATAGGACAGCGTAAGGGGAGTGTCTAGGGGTACGCACAGGCTCATGATTGGTGTGCCTCCAGGCTTGGAGGGCTTGCCCTGTGTTGATTGGTCAACTGGTTGTTATGGCCCATAGGCCCTCCCAGGGTGGTTGCTATGCTCTCTATGTCATTGCTGTGCACTTGTCCATAAAGCACACCCAGGGTCGTAAAGCATAGTGCTACTAGCTAACTTCTGATTGGTTCCTTGTCACGAGACAGGCATCTGACTTTCTAGTGTCTGGGACAAGGTCATAGAAGCACGTGTTCGGCTGTTATGGCTGCCAAAAGTGAAGCTGGTCCCTTCAAAACCATCATCACAAAGACACACTTAGGTTCAGCTCCAAGAAACACGTGCGCAGTGTCAGCCTGAAGACATATGCAACATACTGATGGGGAGAAATGGAAAGAAGTTCACGTTCGTGTGACATCACTTCTCCAACTTGGTCATTCCAAAGTTCACGTGGGAAACGCAAAAGATCTGCTGCAATCAATCCCAGTTCAGAGGAGGGGTTCAGGCTAAGTCATCCTGGGCTCCAGCCTCGCTGTAATACACAGTAACCACTGGCGTCATGTATTGGAGAGAGAACAGGGAGTCAGTGGGTCAAAGCAGTGAGCCCAGAAAGTGACCTGGATAAGTCTACTAATGCCCGGAGCCATGGCACAGGTAACCTTAGACCTGTAAAGAGACTTGGGCAGCTTCAGAGAATCTCTTAAAGATTGTCAGCATGAGTAACCCATTATGTTGGGAGAATAGCTAACTACAGTCCCAATCTACCTCTTCCCCAAATGAATAGAGCCTGGGAAAACAGGAATAGCTGATGGCAAACATTCCACAGTCAGGCTTCTTCCTCCTGCAACCTCTTCATCTTACTAACAACCTGCTGTGTTTGCACCACTCTGCCCCCCCCCCCCCCTCTTCCCTGTTATCCTGCCTTATCTGCACCTGCAACCCCCTGCTTGCCCTTCCTGACATCCTGTCTACCTTCAAGGACTCATGTACCAGATCAAAGGCTTCTCCCTGAAGAAATCTCACGTACCAGGCAAATAAGCTCTCCCCACACCACCAAGCCTTTCCCACTTCACCCGCTATATAAGGTCTCTGAGAAAAATAAAGTTTTACAGCTTGATCAGAAATCCTGTCTTGCTGTCATCCTTGTGCCTCTTGTACCTATTCATTCCAAGTCCTTTGAGGTTCAGGTTCACGTACACTGTAAAAATGTATTACTCCCACTGGTTAATAAAGAGCTGGATGTCTGATGGCTAGGCAAGACTTTGGGGGCAGAGAGAACACTGGGAAGAAGAAGGGCAGGATCTCAGGAGTCACCAGCCAGACTCAGAAAAAAACAACATGGGAAGTAGACAGATGAGGTAAATGATCCTTGGAACAG